CCAACACACGTAAGCACCCCACACATGCATATAAAAGACACACTCCCACTACACCCCACATAAGAGTCTTATGCGTATACACAAACCACACCCATATAATATACTACAGACTTACACCCACCCACCCACCCACCCACCCATTCACCCAGATACGTGCATATGACATCCACCCACACACAGAAGTACACACAACATCCACATAAAAGAGGAGAGTGACTCAAGCCCGTGTGTGTACAGTGGCCAAAGAGACCCTGTAAAGCCCGTCCACCACACACAGTTAGCGACAGTGTCAGGCGCCCGGAGTCATCTCTGACCTATTAAAACTTCCACATAAAGATGGATTCTGAAAAGGCCAAATGTTTATATCATCGTATCATTAATATTTTCCTATATTTAGAAATAAAAACATATCTAATTTAATTTTAACCCCTCAATAAGTCACGAAAATAAATCTTAACAGAAATGCAGGTTTACAGCGTTTATTAGTAATGCTAGAACGCACCGGTCACAAAGATGGATTCTCAAATACGTAAATATATACTGTGGTTCGAACGTTAAACAGTATTTTCTCCTTACAGACGTGAGTACGCATCTAACGACTCACTTACATCACCACACAAAGAAAGATTCGAAGAAAAAAAAACATAAAAGGATCACACTAAACTTGCCTCTTGATATGAAAACGCATTTAACTGGTTCTGTTAAGCTACGGCACACAGATGGTGGCTAAGATGACGTCAGACCTGCAGTGAGAATAGCCTACATTTGCTTTAGTTTTTCTTAAGCAAACATGAAGAAAACAAGAACATGGAGAGAGAGAGAGAGAGAGAGAGAGAGCACTTACAATGTTGGGCAATATAATACGAAGGCAATGATGTACAGTCATCCAGTTACTACCTCATAAATTACTCCCAAATGGCGGCAAACTCATCAGAATACATCATGCAGAATTGCCTTTGTGTGCTGCAATCATTTATAAATCACTGTTGCCTATTTGCACTGACATATTTGCCTGTGCCTTCCTTGTACCACGGCTTATACAGTCATCTCTGATTTACTAAAATGAAGTGAAGGCCACAACACGAGCCGGGCGTCAGTCAACTTGGATTCATGTCACGGAAGCCCCACCAACCACATGAAAGGTATTCGCTGCCTGCCTACATCACGACCTCACGTATAAAGAAATACACCGACAGGTTATCTAGTTGATCACATACACCTCTCAGAGCCTGCGACGTTTTTGTAACACACCATAGGAAGAATTTTACAGGATGAGATTTAACAACTTAAGCACTTACACCAAGAACGCGGAGGAAGTAAATAATAAGTGTCCCAGCCCAAACTCCTTCCTGTGTTTCCTCAAAATTACGCTGGATACACTCTCTTAAGCTTGGTTCCACTGTACAGGTGTATGTATACAGTATAAGAGTAAACATGAGTGTAACCGTCCTCCGTTAAAACAACCTCACACAATATTATGGTGTAACCGCTCCAAACTGTTTACTAATGAACGCGTGCCCCTCTGTGTACTGCCAAGCACTTTAAACAATATTGGTAGGATTAACTGTCCAGTGTATTGATTTACGAGCGTATACATCAGACCTACCCAGTCTCATTACACAAGAACGACTACATTCAAATGAGGAGCCTTTCTATCTGCCCTTGACCCCGGAAACTGCAGCTCAAGGAAGTGTTGAGGTGACTATACATACGGTAAGTGAACAACATTGCTCTTTCCCATCTCGAGGTACAAAGTCAACAAGGGAAGTTATGAAAGCTGTGATCTTGACTTTATGACCTAAAAGATCTAGCATATCTTGGTGTCATGGTGAATACAGTATAGGGTTACAACCTGTACCTAGTTGGTATGAACAGTATAGCTCTTTATGTATTACCTCTAACACTTACCGGGAATTACACAAGAAAAAAATATTCATCAATTTCAATTCGGGTTCACCCATTTCTGATTAAGTCTCTAACAGCAGCAAAAGAAAATTAAAACCGAACCAGTAAATAGAACGGTTTTTTTTTCGTTTATAAATACCTGACCCATCCTACCTGTTCTAGACACCATTAACCACACACCAGTCACCCCTTGTCTAACTCACTCAATAAGCCATGAGATACAATGCCCTTCACCTTGCCTGACTTTTAATAATAGTTCAAACGATTAAAAACGCCATCTTAGGTCTGGTTAGGTTAGGTTAGGTTGATTAATCTTATGGTGAAATATAAGCTGGGAGTGTCTAATCTTCACGTGATCCGATATAATCCGGTAAACTTTAATACAGTATACGGTGTGTTGGGTCTGGTAAGTTAGCCACTATCAGATTCTAAGGAGCTGTCAGTCTAGCCTAGCCGGTACGACGGGTGTCAGCGAACGGTTCCACAATGTATCAAGTTCAACTCCACATTCCTAACACTAACTGAATATATTATCATGATTTCATACACTTCACGTACACCTGAACTTCTCACTTTTCCCACTCAAGTTACTGAACTCTCCCAATACTCACAATACCTCGGCAATACTGAGATTATCTGGGGTGAAACGCACGAACGAACAAGTGTTAATATCAGTTCAATATTTTCTCTATCGTTCTACCAATAAATAGCCACAAATGGAGGTCCAGTGAATTTCCCGAGAATGAAATATGACAAGTTCCTAGAAGCTGTTGCGTGTTGGTAGAAAACTAACAGCCTCAGGTTAATCAGATCGACGCTAGTGAAGCCTGAAGGAGACAGATTTTAGCCTCCCGGAGCGGCATTACCCTACCCACTACCAAAGATCTCCGGGATAGTATATCTAATAGCAATATATCTTCTTCTTTTCTCAATTCATATATAACCTGTATAAAAATAGAACAGTAGACGGTATTAAAAATTCACATTTGTTCATAACTAAGGAATTCCGCAGTGGTTAGGTCGCGGTCTCTGTGACATGGATCAGATTTAAATAAACCTTCCTAAACCAAAATAGTTCTCTTAAATATAAACCGAAAGAGTTATTCTCTGGTGATATTAATAGAAATATACAGTAAACTATGCATAACCATCCACGGTCACTGGGAACCTTACCCATTTAAGAAACACGTCACGTTTTGATGAATATATTACTACACTACGAGACCCCATCTACAGTTGTTTGTGTGAGTTAACTTATTTTAAACATTAGTCTATACAGAGATATACACACACTCCAATACATACACAATGGGGGCGATAAACTTCATATAAATTACTATGGTGGGACGGACGGACACATGCAAATAATTATGTTCCTCACTGCCACTAAGGTGTTAAAACTGTACCCAGCTAATTGTACACAACTTCACTCCCATCACTCTGACCTCTTCCCCATTTTATACACACACACACACAAATGGCCACAGACCCTGATCCCAATGCTAAAATGGGAATGCAATTAACCCACACCCATACAATGTTACCAAGACACAAACTCACTCGCGCAAACTATACCAGCCTCTAAAGTTAAAATCCTACCCGTACATGTTATTACAGCCAAAGACACCTTCTGGAATCCACTAACACTGCAATTCCGTACTCTACTCCTACACCACAGACTACCGCTCTCAAGTGTGGAGTGACGTACCATAGACCTATTTGTCATTGCTAAACAAAAGAGAAATGGAAGCTCTTAACCCCTTGAGTACGATGACAATATATTCAGTTATCGTAGGCGAGGGGTTAAGTTATCGTAGTTAAGGGTTAAGTTATCGTTGTTAAGGGTTAAGTTACCGTAGTTAAGGGTTAAGTTATCGTAGTTAAGGGTTAAGTTATCGTTGTTAAGGGTTAAGTTACCGTAGTTAAGGGTTAAGTTATCGTTGTTAAGGGTTAAGTTACCGTAGTTAAGGGTTAAGTTATCGTAGTTAAGGGTTAAGTTATCGTAGGCGAGAGGTTAAGTCATTATAATCAGGGGTTAACCACATCAAAGATTAATCTCTCAATATTTACCTCTCCCCCCCCCCCATTCTTTAGTTTCTCCTTTCCGTCCAAACAATGTCTCTCCACTTTCTCTTTGTCTGCCACTAACTCCATGGCCAGTACACCAATTAAATCTAGGCATTTAGGTTACAATAAACACGACCTACAATCACACAATAAGCAGAGACTACAATCATCACGGTAACCATCATACAATAAAAAACGGCTACCATCAAATATTAAATACAGCTTATAATCATACAGTAAATACCAACAACAATCATACAATCAGGCCTGCAATTATACAGTGAACATTAATTACGATCATACGGTACACACGGTCTATACAGTGTAGAACCACGGCCGGCACTGAACCAGGATATGTCAACCATCATGTTTAAACTACGACACAGCCAATACGTTTAACACATTGCAACATATCCATACACCAAGATACTGTCGTGATAGGATTAATACAGTACATTTTTATCCTTATCATCCCTTGCAATATCATCATCTATGGACGATGACCGGAGCTTAATATTGCAATAAAAAAAATTCTATATAGTATTAAGAGATCATTGAGTTTGTTTGTTTTAGGGGGAATTGAAATTATTAATCATGAAACAGTTTGTGGTAGATAATTCGAGAATGCAAGCCTACTGTAAGTCACACATTAATATATTTTGTTATAGATTCATGTGTAAAGATAATATGTTTTATGCTTCCAGAGTAAATATAGAATTGGTTTAAAGGGAACGCCATACGTGAATATATAATTTGAGACGTCCAGAATAAAATTTTGAGAAAGGAACGTCATCGGAAAAAAAAAATAATAATTTGTGAAAGATACATTTAAAGTAAAGATAATTAGTGAACGATGTGCCCATAGCAAAGGAAACTGATGAAGGATACGTCAAATTTTGCTTTCCTGGGTAAACTCTTCTCTTCGTAAATCGACGGCCAAGCCCATACTCAGAGCCAAGCCTGACATTCCTTACCAAAACTAGAATATATCCTCAACACAACAGTAGACGCCGTGCTCCTGTACTCACCTCCTGGCTGAAGGAGATGGTGGAGACGTAGACTTTGATGACCATGTTTGCGCTTAACAGGGAGATATGGAATCACAGAAACAACAGAGAGCCGTGCACTAAACAACCATACACCACCGTTGCCACTTGCAGACTGATTTGAGGCTTCTTAAGTTACGATCGTCGAACCAGAAATAAACATTGGCAGCATCCATAGAGAGTCGACTCGTTGTGGAAATGCATCTCTCACGTGAAGCTGACAGTATGATTCAGACCTTTCCTATTGTGTAAAAACATAAATTATTTTTATTGTTTCCATATAACTTATAGGAAATGAATGCTTAAAACTAGAAAAAAAAGAAAGTAAAATATTTCTCCGTAACTATAACCTGGTTGACCAAGGCACCCACACTGCGCAAGCGCGGGCCGGCTTGGACTTTAACGTGTACGAACCGTCAAGTGTTGAAAATTACTTAATTTCCTCCCTCTCTACTTCAGAATTGCACTGTCACATATTTAATTGAAGTCTTTGGATAATTAATTGCTATAAAAATATTTCTTAGTTATATTTATGTACACTAACCTTCATAAATAAATATTTTACGTAAAGTTAATCAACGCGAACACGTCGCGCCGTCTGTCAAAATATAAAATGTTCATTTAAACACTATCAGTATCGTAAAGAGGTATTTAAAATTTTATTTATTAGATATTTGACATTTTAATGGTTTATTGACTACAAAAATACAATTTATCACGATATAAGTTGAAAAACTCAATAGATCTTTCGTAATTTGGGACTGTATCGTGTTACAGGTGTTGGTCATCACTGCTTGACACAAGGAAGGTGATTTAAACCAGGCAGCCCACAGGATGCCTTATATCGCTTGAATCTTATAACCTATCCCGTTCTCAAAACTCGTACGATGAATATATCTCGTAAAGTGAAAGTGTAAGACAACAGCTAAATACCGGCAGTTGACTCACGTTACAACAACAAAATACACAAATACAAACAAATTACAAGACACCTTTCAATAGATACGTTTACTTGAGTTCAGAAAGACAATTAAATTTTGTACGTAAATTTTACCTCCAGAGTATTGCTAAGTAAACGTATCTAGTTAAGCTATTTTATAAATCGTTATCTTTGGGCTTCGCTAGCTGAAGTTAGCTAGTTAAGTGAGGATAGCAGCAACAGCACTAATAATAACCACCAGTAACTAGCTATTAATATTAAGTGTGCACGAGGCTTGTACAGTGTCGACGTTGTTGTGTGTGTGTTGAGGTCTTCATGCACCGCGAGTAGACAACAACTTAGCAACAACCATTAAATATTAAGCAGACTCTTAATTCTTGGATCTTAGAATTACATTAGGATTTAACCCCCAGCTAATTTAACCTATTACAATCTAATCTAAGGTAACTTAACATAAGAAAGACTAATCTAACCCTCCCAGGTAACGTTGGGGTGATTAATCATCAGGTGAAATAAGATGAATGGATTAATATTTAAGTGACTTATACCTTACTCCAGTGATCACCTTACTCCAGTGACCACCTTGCTCCAGTGACCACCTTGCTCCAGTGACCACCTTACTCAGTGACCACCTTGCTCCAGTGATACCTTGCTCCAGTGACCACCTTGCTCCAGTGACCACCTTGCTCCAGTGACCACCTTGCTCCAGTGACCACCTTGCTTGCTCCAGTGACCACCTTTGACCTGCACTCCAGTGACCACCTTGCTCCAGTGACCACCTTGCTCCAGTGACCTCCAGTGACCACCTGCTCCAGTGACCACCTTGCTCCAGTGACCATCAGTGACCACCTACCAGTGACCACCTTGCTCCAGACCACCTTGCTCCAGTGACCACCTTGCTCCAGTGACCACCTTGCTCCAGTGAGACACCTGTGCTCCAGTGACCACCTTGCTCCAGTGACCACCTTGCCCAGACACCTTGCTCCAGTGACCACTACCTTGCTTGCTCCCACCTTGCTCCAGTGCCACCACCTTGTGACCACCTTGCTCCAGTGACCACCAGCACCAGTGACCACCTTGCTCCAGTGACCACCTTGCTCCAGTGACCACCTTGCTCCAGTGACCACCTTGCTCCAGTGGCAGTGACCACCTTGCTCCAGTGACCACCTTGCCCAGTGACCACCTTGCTCCAGTGACCACTTGCTCCAGTGACCATCCAGTGACCACCTTGCTCCAGTGACCACCTTGCTCCAGTGACCACCTTGCTCCAGTGACCACCTTGCCCAGTGACCACCTTCTCCAGTGACCACCTTGCTCCAGTGACCACCTTGACCACCTTGCCCAGTGACCACCTTATCAGTGACCACCTTGCTCAGTGCACCACCTTGCTCCAGTGACCACCTTGCTCAGTGACCACCTTGCTCCAGTGACCACCTTGCTCCAGTGACCACCTTGCTCCAGTGACCACCTTGCTCCAGTGACCACCTTGCTCCAGTGGTGCTCCAGTGACCATCTTGCTCCAGTGACCACCTTCCAGTGACCACCTTGCTCCAGTGACCACCTTGCTCCAGTGACCACCTTGCTCCAGTGACCACCTTGCTCCAGTGACCACCTTGCTCCAGTGACCACCTTGCTCCAGTGACCACCACATTCACCTTGCCAGTGACCACCTTGCTCCAGTGACCACCTTGCTCCAGTGACCACCTTGCTCCAGTGACCACCTTGTCCCAGTGACCACCTTGCTCCAGTGGACCACCTTGCTCCAGTGACCACCTTGCCCAGTGACCACCTTGCTCCAGTGACCACCTTGCTCCAGTGACCACCTTACTCCAGTGTTTCCAGTGACCATCTTGCTCCAGTGACCACCCTTGCTCCTTGCTCAGTGACCACCTTGCTCCAGTGACCACCTTTACTCCAGTGACCACCTACCAGTGACCACCTTGCTCCAGTGACCACCTTACCAGTGCTCCAGACCACCTTGCTCCAGTGACCACCTTGCCCCAGTGACCACTGCTCCAGTGACCTATACCCTTGCTCCAGTGACCACCTTGCTCCAGTGACCACCTTGCTCCAGTGACCATACCCAGTGACCACCTTACTCCAGTGACCACCTTGCTCCAGTGACCACCTTTGACCACCTTGCTCCAGTGACCACCTTGCTCCAGTGACACCTGCTCAGTGACCACTTTGCTCCAGTGACCACCACTCTCCAGTGACCACCTTGCTCCAGTGTGCAGTGACCACCTTGCCCAGTGACCATGACCACCTTGCTTCAGTGACCACCCTTGCTCCAGTGACCACCTGCTGCAGTGACCACCTGCTCAGACCACCCACCTTGCTCCAGTGACCACCTGCTCCAGTGACCACCTTCCAGTGACCACCTGCTCCAGTGACCAGTGACCACCTTACTCAGTGACCACCTTGCTCCAGTGACCCCTTGCTCCAGTGACCACCTTGCTCCAGTGACCACCTTGCTCCAGTGACCACCTTGCTCCAGTGACCACCTTGCTCCAGTGACCACCCTTACTGCTCCAGTGCCACCTTGCTCCAGTGACCCTTAGCTGCCCAGTGACCACCTTGCTCCAGTGACCACCCTTGACTACCCAGTGACCACCTTGCTCCAGTGACCACCTTGCTCCAGTGACCACCTTGCTCCAGTGACCACCTTACTCCAGTGACCACCTTACTCCAGTGACCACCTTGCTCCAGTGACCACCTTACTCCAGTAGCCACCTTGCTCCAGTGACCACCTTGCTCCAGTGACGTATACCTTACTCCAGTGACGTATACCTTACTCCAGTAGCCACCTTACTCCAGTGACCACCTTGCTCCAGTGACGTATACCTTACTCCAGTAGCCACATTTAGGCTGGATGTTAATTCTAAATGAGTAACACTACTTGGTCTTCTCAGGCATATGGTAATACAATGATAGCAGTAGTAGGAGGAGGAGGAGAAGGAAGAGTAGGAGAAAACGGAATTAATCACTGTTAAATGTGTACTTCCTCCAAAAGAACTTACCTCCGTTAAGTTAGGTTAGCTTAGGTTAGGTTAAGTTAGCTTAGGTTAGGTTAATATTAGGGTGTTTACTTTTAAGGTGAAATAAGCAACGGGGTTATTTTCACATGATCTTATTTTTGTCATTCTACCTTTCGAATTATTTTTAATTATACAGAAGATATGTAGAAAAAATGAATCTATGAATAAGATAGGTACCATACGTTCTAATAACTTAATTTACGTTGGAAATTTGAGTAGTTTTAGAAATATAGTTAAATGTTAAGGTAATGATGCAATATGATACTGTGGTCTTCAAGCTCGTGTTCCGACTCGTTCATCTATATTTTATTCAGAGTCGTATAAAGCATGTTAATTTTCACTACGACATTTTAGAATTATTATTGATTATCTTCTTATGCTAATTTGAGTTTATTTAGAACGTGAAACTGAATTCTGCATGACAAATCAGATGAATCTCTACTATGTAACCTTTAAAGCAAAAGTTTAATGATAAATAATATGCTATTTACAAAATTTGATGTATATATTTTATATTAAAGTATACATGTTTTATGATTCGTGTTTTTTTTTTTTTGGTTTTAGAATTTCACTTATGAGCTGTATGTGTATTTGTGTATTTGTTATATAACCAGGATATAGATAAGGTGTCGTAGCCAAGAAAATTGTAAACAAACAAAGTGGTGGAGTGAGGGTCGTCTTGAAGCTCCATTGTATTATTATTCCACCACTACTAGCACTCATATTTATATTCTTTAAGTACCAAGCACCAACATGTCTCTACAAGAACAGGCTCTGAGCTTTATAGACACAGCATTAAGAGTTCCGCCGCTTTTTATTATGGATGAAGTTCTCAAGTTCAGCTTCACTGGTCCACTCCACGTCAGGTGAGGACTGACCCACTGAGTCTACCCTCCCAACAGCCAACTTGACTCGATAAACTGTTTAAAAAATAAGGATGATCCAAAATTAATGTAAATATTCGCATTCTGAAGACACATTGTATTTGTATGCAATATGCTGTTTCATAACGCAACTTTATCTATCCTTTAATTCCAGAAAGCAAACGAGTAATTCTTAATGGTTGTTGACCACAAGAACCACGTATTTCAAACAATATTGTGCTGAAGACAACTTCTTTCTTACCTCATTAAAACTGCAAATCAATTGCAGGAATTACAATTTTCTTATTTTTGTTTCTCCATAGAGTTTTCTGGTAGATAGCATAAATGTATCCACCCTGTTCATCCATCGCAATTTTTATGCTTGAAGTGTTGCCATACAGACAATTCTATTTCCTGAACAATTCTAGAAACTGCAACAGTGTATCATTAATCTAGCATAAGGTGAACTAATCAAACTACCTAACTAAACCTAATTGTTGATTAAATTGCCCCATGTCTTCTTTTTTAGGTATTCAAGGTTCATGAGTGATGAAAACCCATTCCTGAATGGCAATGGCTTTGGCCATATTAATGAGGAAGATGTAAAAATGTGGGCCACGGAGAATGACACAAGTGATGGCTTGGAGGGTTACCCCATGCTCACATCTATTGCACCTGCAATAGCAAAAATACTTATGTTTATATTAAGTAAGTATGTCCGGTTGTAAATTTTTTGATTGCTACTTTTGTTAGTAACATGCACATATGCTTTCATGGAGTTGATATGTTTTATGTTTTTCAGTAAATAGGAAGGTAAGTCAAATTTTTATATAACTAAATACTTTACAGCAAATGAAGGGAGGGTGTTGGCTGTTGATTCTGGAAAACGCTTGAAAGAATGAATACAATATACTGTATACAGCATTCTTTAGTTTATGAAAATTCCCGGTTGCGAGTTGTTCTGACTACTGAAGCACAATTTCATATTTATAAAAAAAAAATCCTGGGTAATCTCCAGTACATATTTTACATAACACAAAATAATCTACACTGTATAAAGACAATTAAACAAAATATGACTAATATAAGCTAAAATTACAATTAAAAGTGTTATAGTTGACCTGGCTTGCAGGACTGGTGCACTACAGGTTTTAGCAACCAGACTCTCACCCAGGGATCTTGGTTGTGGGAGCACCTAAGTTTTTATTCTTAGTGTTAGTCATGGATGTAAATTCACCATTTTTATTTACCAGCCTTTATAATTTTTTGTAGCCCTTAAACAAGTGAAAAGGTTCCAACATTGTCGTTTTCCAGATATAGACAGCCTTATTTACTTGATATTCTTTGCTAATCTATATATTTAAAGCTGTGTGTATGTCTGTTCACAATCTCTGGCTATAGTTTTGAGGATAGAGAACTGAAATTTGGCAGGGAGATGTGCATGTACCCCAGAAGTGTTCCTGTATTGTATTTACCAACCACTTTCAGTAACAGCTTGATAAAGGCAATATGTGCAGTATATGTCATTCTCAGTGTGTAATATTTACCAAGTGTGAAGTGACAGACAACAACCCCAAGGTCTAAAACTATCCGGCAACTTAATTATGTCTGCGTCGGCCAACTGGTTTCTGGGCAACTCACTGTTCCAGGGATGTCACCACATTCCACTGTAATGAAATTGAATTTTAAACCTAACCCTGCTAATCTTAACAGCCAGGTTGCTAATCTGACTTTCTGCCTCATTTACACACAATTGGAGGGTCTCACTTGTTTCTCTTAACATTGACAACACAATATACATACATTATACAGTTTTGTTTCTCACTCTTGATATTTTTGTTCTTTTTTTTTCTTTATGGTTCTTTATTATTATTATTGCAGTGTTATTATTATTATTATTATTATTATTATTATTGTAGTGTTGTTATTATTATTATTATTATTGTTATCATTATTATTTTAGTATTTTTATTTTTTTATACTGTATTATATTTATCTGAATTATTATTATTATTATTATTATTATTATTATTATTATTATTATTATTATTACATTTTCGTCACCCCCCCTCCACCCCGATGTGGGACATTGACCTGTGCCCCGGGTGGGCTAGTCCCTGTAAAAAGCAAAAAAAAAAAACTAACCTAACGTGATTGAGTCCAATTTGTTTGCCGGTAGATAGCTAAAAAGCCAGTAAAGTGATCTTGTCACCTTTACTTCATTTTGGTCGCCTTGGGCAGGGGGCTTAGGGGAATTTCCATCCCTCTTATCTGATGTTAGAAGATAAATTATGCTAAATAAATATACAGTACTATCTATATTCCTTTTAATTTTCAGTAACTAAACCTGTTCTAGTATATGACCATGTCTTGTGTTATTCAATGGTGTAAGGTCTGTTCCTTCTTTTCCTAGCCACACCAACACTGCATTTCTACCCTCAGGTGTTTCCTACATAAAAAAAAGAATATGAATTAAAATATTCAAGTCATCTTCCAGAATTCTGTCTTGATTCTAACGTTAAACAAGTCACTCATATCAGTGTTACGTGCCACACAACTCATCAATGACTGTTAATGCTTTCTGCCAGTAACATATGTTTTATTACTTGTCTGTAAATTTGCTTTTTGGTTGTAGTATGACACTGTTCATTGTCTATCATTTCTAAGCTTTAGTTTCAGATTCATTTGGAAAATTCTTTTAAATTTATGTAAAACAGAGATCACTTTTTCTTTAGATGATTCTTGCTTGAGTCATTTTTTAATTTTTTTTATTTCTGGCTGGTTGTTGGCAGGACAAATATATTTCAATATAAATACTTTCGTTCTCACACTTACTCTGTGTCAGTTTTACAGCGGGTAGCTTCTGTATTAACTCAAACCTTTGGTAAATCACTGTGTGCTCTCCTCAGATAGCTTAAGGAAATGGAGGAAGATTTTCAGCAAGAGATGAAGCAACTTTGATATTTTCTTAATGTTCTTAACATCTTACAAACTGCATCAGATGATCGTGGACTTCATATTTTATAATAGATGATAATGAAGCATTGATGTACAATGTTTGGTACTTTACAGTACAATATAGTCATCTTCACTGTTATGTATTATTGAATAGTTATACAAGTACAATATGGCATCTTTTGTGCATGTATGTTTAACATATCTTACTGGGAATTGTTTCTCAACCTTATTTTTTATTCTATTTTTCAGTGTATATTATAGCAACTGTGACATTTCTGCTGAGTTCTCAACGCTTAATACAAGTTTATCTAGTGGTGGCGAGCATGGCCGTTGTGGTCGCTGGATACCAAGCAAACATGGTAACTGTGCAGTACTTAACCTCCCCTCCACAGTCTGACCATCCATCTGTACTCTACAGTATACTTTCCCTAAATGCCACAGCGCTATGGGACAGTGGAGGGACCCTCTCCACGTTAACAGTAAACTATATATTTCAAGGTTCTTTAGGGTATCTTTTTACTCTCTTATATTCAGGGCCTCAGTATCCAGTGCTGCATAAAATCATGATTACTTCATTTCTCATGCCTCCAATATCCATGCTCTTCACGCTTCCCAGTGGAATACTTTCTGCTGTACCATTATTTGCTGCACTGCTTCCTTTAGTATTAGTCAAGTACACTGTTGCCAGTAACTTACTGAAATGTACACAAGTGGTCATTGATGGATACCATTATGCTCGCCGGATCATGAGGGACTTTGGTCTTCATTCCCTCTTGGAATCGGAATGGGTCCGACTAAATGTTCCAAATGTGCTACGAACATTTTGGCTTATTCGTGTGGCTCATCATGTTGTAATCATGCTGGGGGAATTCATGTATTCCAGAGGAGAGTATCAGTCTCTATGGACCTTAGATTTAGAAGCTGTTTATGTTATCTTCAAATCTGTAATGACTCAAGGATGTGAAACTGTTGTGGCACTACTTGGTATGACAAGTATTGTTTCATATGTAAGTCACTATGTTGGTGTAGCGTTTCAGATGATACTTCTGACAGTGGAAGACGATGAGAGAAGCATGGGGACAGTGTGTGCTATCCTATTTTTCGTCTTGGCTGAACAAAGTGGCTTGACAGTCATGAAAGGGGAGAAGAGATTTGTCCGTTTATGTAGGAATTTTTGTCTTCTCTTTACGGCAATGCTGCACTTCATACATAATATGGTAAATCCCGTCTTAATGTCCTTGAGTGCCTCCCGAAATCCAGCCCTATACAGACACATAAGGGCTCTGATAGTCTGCTCTCTCCTTGTGTTCCTGCCAGTGTTACTCCTGTTTATACTCTGGTCATTTTATCCACTTTCCACCTGGTTACTGGCAGTCTCAGCCTTCTCAATACAAGTCATAGTTAAAACTCTGGTATCTCTTTTAATATACAGATTGTTTCTTGTTGATGCTTATTGCAGCACATTTTGGGAGAAATTGGATGATTATGTTTATTATATCAAGGCATTTGGGAATAGTGTTGAATTTGTATTTGGGATTCTTCTGTTCTTTAATGGGGCTTGGATTTATTTCTTTGAATCTGGGGGATCCATTCGAGCATTCATGATGTGTATCCATGCTTATTTTAACATATGGTGCGAAGCAAGGAATGGATGGACCGTATTTATGAAACGGCGAACGGCTGTCAACAAAATTAACTCCTTACCAGAGGCAACACCGGAACAACTTAATGATCATGATGATGTTTGTGCAATCTGTTACCAAGGCCTACATACTGCTAGAATCACAAAATGTAACCATTATTTTCACAGTGTATGTTTGCGAAAGTGGTTGTACGTCCAAGATTCTTGTCCATTATGCCACGAGACATTGTATAAAACTGAACCCTCTGATGATAAGCAGGGGGTAGGTGAAGGCGGTGGAGAGATAGTTATGGATAGGGTTCCTCCAGATCAAGACGCTGATGTGCAAGGTGCTCAACCAAACGAAGATATGGGTAATAGGGACATACCAGCGTGGAGGCACCGAGATTTTGACGTTATACCGGGCGAAAACACGAACGGCCCGAATGGAGAAGTGGTGATAGACAACGAGGTAGGGGAAGCTGTCATGCTGCCACCTCAGGTTCAACACCTTGAGGACGGGGTAATGCACAGACAGCAGGAACGACGGGAGTCTCAGGGGTCAGAACGAGGGGACAACAGAGCCCAGCTGCAGCATAATGATAGAGAACCTCAGTTTAATGATAATAACGATGTGTTTACTTTGAGATCGCTTAGAAGGCATTTTATTGATCAAGATATAGGTCAGCAGTAGTGAGATTATGATCTTGTAATCAGATAAGAAGAGAGAGACTGTAAATGTAAATTATGAATAGACTTACAGTGGGTGATTAAAAAAGTTAAATGATATTAGTCATTGATTCATATGCATGCAGTTTTCTTTAACACACACACACACACACACACACACACACACACACACACACACACACACACACACACTTGTATATATATATATATCTATATCTGCATTCATAACTAGCTTAAGGATATAGCTAATAAGTTCATATAAAACTATGTGGAACATAGTCTGCCTTGATTTACTCAATATGCTTTGATACATGATAGCATATATTAATTTTGTGATATATTACAGTATGTCCTTACATGAGCTCATTCTTGTAGATTATCAGTTTTGTGACTAATTCATCATCATTATAGATTCAGATATATTATTTTAAGTAGAATAAGATGTACAGTATTATGATTTTGTAAAAGTTGTCAGTTGTAGAAACTAATGGAAGTGCTTAATGGCCCAGGTGGGTGAAGTACCTAAAAAAAAAAGGATGTAACAATCATATTTTGCACTAAATTTTCACAGAACTTGTGTTTTATAACTTAACGTCTGTATCAGTTAACTGTGTATGTCCAACAAATATGCAGAGGCTGAAAAACTCAAATGCTGGGGTCACGGCTTATGCCTGGGAACTAAATAGGAAATAACAGAATATTATGGTATCCTTCACCTTCATACTGGGGTTCCTGAAGGATACCATTTTTTAGTAAGGAGTTGCCCCCAAAAATGGAGAAGGCTTAAAAAGAGACCCCCTAGTCTGTTCATTAGTTACATAGCTCTCAAACCTGACCATCTGCCTTAGATTCCAGTCAGACCTCAAGCTGAGTCTATTTACCCATTCTTACAATTATATGGGGTGTGTACTGAGGTTATGTTGCTTAATACTGAAACTCTCAGGTCTTTTTCCTTTTTTAGAATACTGTATTGTACTCTCCCTTCTAACCTGGTGGTATCCTTCCCTTACACAGGTATTCACGAGAAAGATTAATCCGTTATTTTTACTTTTATTTTTTTATTTTTACACCCCAGTCATGAGTTGGAACCCTCGGGTCTAAGTTTCGAAACGCACAGACTTGCTGGTTATACACAGTTAGAAGGGTTCATGATGCATAATAGTATTTAGACAGAAGCAGTGTGTTTTCTCAGGTCCAGGATGCTACAGTGTTAAACCATTTATGAAAGATTACATGACTGAACATAACTTAAGCTAAAAAAGAATCCAGTAATGTTAGTGTAGTTCATGTTTGTTAATGTTGTTTACTTTCTGAATTGTTTTAAAACTGAAGCTCTCCAGACCCAGAGATGAAGACTCTTGTAGTACAGTACTGTGGGATTTAGTGTATTTTTGGTAACTGTGATCATTAATTTTTACAAGTTTTAGGAAACCTTATTCTACTTTAAACCTCATGCCATCCAGTGAAAATGTGAATAATACCGTGTTCATATCGGAAGTGGTTCTTTTCGTGTGTGTAATAAAGTGGTCTGAATGTCCTAATTATTATATTTTTTCTCTTATGTGGTGGAAAATTACATCATGTTGGTTATAGTTATATATAAAAAAATCTCTCTTGTGTGCTGTTATACTGTACAGGAGTGCTTTGATTTATGAAAGGGATATACGGTATGTATATGTTTCTGAAAACCTTTCGTAAATCGAAGCCATTTTTCCCATTGACTACCATTATATAAAGGGAGATAGGTTCCTACTTAAAAACACATATTTCAAGCAATTTTTTGTGGTAAATAATACTTCTAAGCAAATGTATTAATCATAATAACATTAATAAAGCAGTACAGTACTGTATCAAGTTTGTTTGATCCATATTAGAATACAATTTACTGACAGTAAACTGTGTGTGGTCGGTGCTGAGGGTGATGGTGTGGCAGGATGGTGGTAGATGGTGTTACTGGGAGGATGATGATGTAGCAGCTGGAACCTCTGCCTTACCATCACCACCACCATCCTATGACATGTTAGTATATGTGTCTATAAGCACAGAAATGTTTCACACACTAGCCTGCACTACAGTACTGTACATTGCTTACTGTCTGTGTTTTCAGCACAGGATATTCTCACATGCCTGTGTCAGCAACTCATCATCTTCCGATGCTATGAAAGATTACAGTAAAAAAATTTTTTTTGTAAAAGTGGGTTTTTTTGTTCGTATACCAAAGTGCTAGAACAATTTTGTTTTTGTTTTTTTATAAAATTTGCGTAAATCAAAGCACTCCAGTACAGGTACCAGTATATATGAGTCTCACATTGACTTCATTTAAAAAGACAAACAAAACTGACTTATATGCTGCATCAGTATAGAAATCAAGTGACAGTTTTTCCCTAGTCATTGACAAATTATCTGTCAGTGAACGAGTTGGCTCAATTTAGGTTATACAGTAGTTGCTTGTCACAGAGAAATTGATTTTTCTAGGTCAGTGAATGAACAAGACAGTTAGTAACAAAGCTAATGTATAGTTGCTGGTGCAGCAATCTGATGCCTGTCTTGGACAATCCATGTGTGGCCAGTCAAGTTTAAGGGTTGAAAACCCAGGGTTTCCAGACCTCAACATTGATGATTGGAACTACCGGTAATCTCAAAACTCGTTATCCATTCCCACCTACCTGTCACCTAAGAAAAAAGGACTTTGATATGAGAGGTACCACTGATGACTGAAGACTAGGAGTCTTTGCTGTCACTCTAGTGCTTGTGATGAGTGATTCTCATTTGACATTGGTTAGAGGACAGCACAGCAGGATCAGCAGACACTTCCACCTTGTTAAGGTTGTTTCCATAAATAGTGTGCTGAGAGTGCAGGAATTTGGTTGTCTCATCTTAGATACTGTGGTGTGGTAAAAGTGATCCATAACATGAGGATGTGGAAGAGACTCGGGATCCTTCCTCCCACGTGTTGACGCAGAAAAGTCAACAAAACATCATTACGAGATGATTCCATTCCCTGTGGAAAGATTTTTCTAACCACATGCACTTACACAAGGTAATTCAGGAGCTGGTATAAGAGTAACCCGGCCCAAGGACACTTATTTACTGTGGTAGTCATATTGAGTGTTTACCCTGCCATTTTAGGAGGATTTTCCATGGCCAAATGTAGCCAGGAATCCTTTATTTCATTGCTTCATTCCAGGTATTTGGAACTTCTTTTGCCATTCCTCTTGTTTTTAGTTGGTGTTAGATACACTACAATATTGTAGTCGTCCAAGACAGGTCTTGGCTTCATAACCTGGCCTGTATATAATGACTCATTCTCCCAGTGGTGGGCTGAAGCTGAGGGGCTGATGTGTTGTATAGTAACTGATATTAAATGAAGATATAGTAATGGAGCCCGTGTGCTAGTACTGTATGGGAACAAATAATCTTGGCTTTCAGTCATGAGTGGTCTTGTAGAATACTGTATGTGGCCAGTTGTCAATTCTCTTTAGTTGTCTATTGTCTCTTTGTATGGGCACACAAACGTACGTACATGTAGATATCTCACACTCAGGAATGAGGTAGAATAGAAACTCACAATGCATTTTCTGTATATATATTGTTGTACAGTGCAGTGCTAAGGAGTTACTAGGTGAGGAGTAGCTTGCTCAGAGGTCCTGTAGGGCGAGGAGCTTTCTGAGGGAGCTGGGTGGTGAGGCACTGTAGAGAGATCTTGCTGGTCCAGTAGGTCAGAGTAGAATGGTCTCCCTGGCCAGCCACGCCCGTATTTATACAATTCTGAAACATCAGGATTTGGGATGCGCGTAGCGCGAGAGCCAGTCACAGAGGAGAATGCCAGAAGTACCCGGCACTCTGATCCTGGCGTTGCTACGTGTGTGTCCGCACTGGAGAGTAGGTCTACCAGCATCGCTGGCTGTACGCTGATTGGCTGGTAAGCGTGCGGGAGCTCAGTCGTCAGTTGGAGGGGATAGGATCCACTACAGTCTGTCTTGTATCTAATTCCATTTTTAGGAGACTGGTACAGTGTGAGGAAGGGGTAACCCTGACTTTCAATCTTTAAACTTAACCCAATCCAAACACATTTATAAAATGGGATTTTAGGATCAACCTCTCATTTTTCACATCTGTGGCATAAATGAATCCCAGTCAGTTTTTAGTAAGTTGTTTGTAAAGTCTGTTCAGTAATTTTAGGAAATAGATTATAAGATATGATTTCTTTATTACTCATTAGAAAAAAAAATATATTTTTTTCTTTTTTTTCCTAGTAGTCAGGTACAGTACTGTATTTAAATCATGTAGAGTATCTTCAGTGTTTTGAAGGGAACATTAGAAATATAAGTAAATTGCTTCCAAGTTAAAGTACTGTAATATTACATGTAAATATTGAAAAATAATTTGTCTAAGATGTTAACAAAAAAGCTAATACTGTATACTTAGAAATATTTTTTAAGGGTAATTTAAAATATTCCAAGTAGGATGTGTGACGTACTGTACTGTACTGTAAAGTACCATATATATATATATAAGCCTCACTGTTGACATGTTGACCTCTGGCTGTACAGTGACTTTTAGATTGTGACCTGGAGAACCAGTTTTCTAAGAGGAGGGAAAAGGGTTTATTGACTGTACAGTATTACAGTGCCGGGGGTCCCTGATGTACGTTAAGGTTTGGGGACCAAAGTCGTGCCACTTAAAGCGAAATGATAAGTGGGTAATATACCACCATAAGAATACTGTACATGTAAACACTGGGGGATAGGAAGGCAACACAAAGCGAGACAATTTCTTCCATAAGAAATAATGTAATAAGGTAGGAATAGGGATCAGATTTTGAAGTAATTTTTTACTTATAGAATAGAAAATGTATTTGTCATATCGTTAAACAATGACTGAAGCAGAATAGCATTTTTATTAAAAAAAAAAAAATAATTTTAAACATCATTTTAAAAAGATTCAACCTAACCAATACATTTGTTTATCTTACATTTAGGAGTGGCTGAGTTCACCTTGTTTACTACGCTTTACTGTACTGTATAACGTCCAGCTGAATATCCAGTGTAATCCTCATACACTTCTTCTTCCCCTCACCACCTGCACTAAGCTTGTCACTCATTATTGAATGATTGCAACAATAAATCCAGATATAATCGATGCTGAATGTGAAGCTCAACCACTACTCACAGTGTGATAGAACACAATGGGTCTGAGAAGTGTCGATAATGATGCTGGTAGATGATGCAAGATGGCAGCGGGAGATTTAAGTTTTCACATTGTTTATACTAAGTCAACTAAGTCGAAAATGTCACAATGATAGTGTGGTGAACTTTTACATCATGTTCCTCATCTAGTCAATGACGTCAGTGCGAAATGACTTATAGAGTGATGACCTGTAGTGGGGACCCCCTGTACCTGTAAGTTGAATGACAAAACCTGGAGACTGAATAATATTATGAAAGTTGTTTTTCATGTAATACTGTTTTATTTGGTGTTGTAAAAACTGTTTGAATTGAAATAGAGTTTGAAATGGATGTGTGTGGATATAATAACTCAAAGAACGTGTGTGTGTGAGTGAAATGGTGGAGGCTAAGGTATGGCGGTTTAATAATAGTACGAGATGATTTATTGAATTTATGACCCATCGAGTAGTTTCTAAGTGAGACATTGTTGCTATAGAATGGGAGGAGGAGGAGGCACATAGGGTATAAATCTATAGGTAGGATATGTAATATATTAAATCTTGTGTCTAAGCAATGAAGAGCTTTGCGAGTTCAAAAATAACGTCTTAACTTTCCACCCCTGTACAGTATTGTTAATGATTTCTCATATCCATTTATAAAGACATGTATTTATTATATGTATATTTGTTCATATATACATTTGTAATGGTACACTCACTTCAAAAAGTATCTTTATGATTTTGTGTGAGACAATAATAACACAACGGACGAAGGTTATTGACAACCCTTCCGAGACAACAGGAGTCACAGTGTTCATTTTGAAATTCATCAGACCCCCAGTAAAGATATTTTTTTGGTGCTTGTGTACATTTCAAAATAATTACTGTAGCATTTTTTTTTTCTGGGTTGTAGTTGAAGCACAAACATTGGCTTAAACAGAGGTCTCCTTGTGGCACGCATCAGGTACTGTATTTTAGTGGACGCCTCATATGAATCTTGGTGCTTCGTATTCTTCTTTCTGTACTGCTATCAATAAAACACACAATATTATAATCGATCAGCCTATCTCATTATCTCATTTAATGTTTTTAAGACAAGCCAAAGTGATGTATATGTGTGTGTGTGTGGAATGAGACATGCTTTCTTAGGAGACTGAGGGAGATCAGTTTTGATTGGAAAATGTCTTATGTCCAGTTTGGAACATTAGACATAACTTATAATTGTCCTCACTACACAGCCATCAACTTGCTATTATTACAGTGTTAATGTTGATATTTTAGCCAGTGGAGAATAGCTTCATGACTTGCCCTTCATGCTTCAGACATCTTCAACCACAAAACACAAACACTGTTGATCATCCACACTTTGTAGATGACGGCAAATTTTGATGAGATTTATCGAGACTTGGTATTGTGCAAAGTCTCCTCTTTCTGCTCATTTAACTTATGTTACCACAAAGGTATCTGCTTTGAGTATAATATCACAGATAATTTACCAAAAATACCAAATATTATGGCAAGTGAGTTAGAGACTTACTGGTACAGGTTAATAACTAATTTTAGAGATTGTCAACTTCCATGCATAAATAGATGAACCTGTACAAGGAATCCCTAGTTCTGAGCCATAATCCACCTGTCTCCTCACTCAAAGCAGGTTATTTTCTGGATACTCTGCATCATAACAGAGCTAAGTTGTGTTTACATCCTGTATATGACTGTCCCACAACTCCTGAAGCTATATATACGATACATTCTGTCTGTGAGTGTGTGTATGTTCTTTATGCATTTCCACAGTTTTGAAGAAAAAGATGAAATTTGGTAGGAAGGTGCAGGTGGTCTAGGGAATGGTCATGCACTATCTTCTGTCCCTCCACAATAGGCTGGTCCATGACTCCCCTGCCCAATGGATGGTCCACAATTTTGATGATATGTCTGGGATTTTGTTTCATTATTAATCCAGGTAAAACTGGGTACCCTAACTATTATTATTATTTATATAATAAGGATAATTCCATCTTTTGTTTGGATTAGGTTATAAGAGTTATGGGCATCTCTTGCAGATGGTGATCTCTATATTGCTATAGTTCCAGATGATTAATTTACATTTTGGCACCACCAATTCACAAGTACGGTACTACTATTGTATACTGTGGCTGGTTCACAGGTGAACAATTAGGGAAAATTGGGAGAAAGTCACGGCTGTGCAGCTATGCACATGGCATACTGCATCTGCTGTTAAATTCTGAAATTCTTTGCCAGAGCATCTTGGAAAGTTATGATTTTTTTATGCCAGGCTTTATGGTAGGTGAATTTTCATCTGCTGAAAGTTTTCAGGGCAGTAAGGGTTAGCTTGTTATGTTTAAGATGTGGCAGTGTTTTCACAACATCAATTTCAGTGGTGAGGCAGTGAGAACTGACCTTGCTGCAGCAGTTGCCCTTCCTGAAAAGTTTAAGGCACTTGTATAAGCAGGTTGAGCAGTGAGCAGCCCACACACTCCCTCAGTCAGTCTCACATTGTCCATTGTTTTGTGCGGACGTTCGCTACCATCATCTCATGTTGTAGTGGGTGGATTTGCCATTTTTATTCTAGTGCAATGTTGTCTAAATCACCTTGTAGTGCATCTGTTCATCCCTCTCTTAAAGGAAATAGTTACACAAGAGATAGGCAGTTGTAAGATCTGCCCCCAGTTACAGTACGAATTTGTGGGTAGTCTACACTCCTAAACCTACAGTTAGGTTTCATAGTACTGTAATAGGAGCCACCGGAGTGTGTCAAGCTAAAAAAAAAATAATATAAAATGTAACAGTTTATTGTATATACACAAAACTGGTCAAATTTTAGCATATCACAGAGTAAAGCTGACATTATTATAATTTTTTGAAAAGAATATATTCTATTCTTTCAAAAATTTCAATCTAATTAAAGCAACAAGTCCTCATAATTTGTCGTGACATTCACAATTGTATTATCTTGTACTTTACAGTACTGTGCACGGAAAAATATATTTATCAATTATCCATTCTTAACTAAGTTAATAGAACAATCAGTAGATATGATGAATTTATAAAAAAAAAATATGATATATGCCATTGTATACCTTCATAAAGTACAGTACAGTACAGTACCTGTACTTTCTTCCCATGATTGACTACAAAAATAAGGTGACATATTACAAGGTGTCATGAAGTCAAATCTGTACCGTAGTTATTTCCAAAGGTGTATGTCGGGCAGATACAGGGGGGGCAGCTGTCCATATATCATTTATATATATAATAACATTTACCTTAAAGAAAATATATGACGAGGCTTTGAATATTAGGCATCATTGATCATCTTCCTACCACCGGGATCTGTGAGTGTCCTTCCACGCCAGTGAAAATACCTGGACCCACCAGTGTGTACAGTACATGGCACTTTGGTGAAGATCATTTTCCGTATCAAACACTGCTATAAACAGGTAAGAATGACATTTACCTTGTTTAAGACATGGAATCTTCAAATAGTTATGTAAGGCACAATATAAAGACTGCTGTTTCTGAGGTAATTATCTGTTGAAGCCATGGTTCAGTATTTATGATTTCCTATCAGGCAGTGTAGCAGCAAGATGTCGCTTGCGAAGATTTGCAATACTTTCCAAACACTCTTCCTCTTGTTTCTGAAGTTCTTTCTGGCCAACCACATATACTGAAATAATTTAAAATGTACAATTAGTCTAGAATTTACAAACTGCATCAATCATTATTTTACTATAAACTATGAACAAAAAACATTTGAAGGATAAGACAGAAGAAAGCTTCAGTTTCAGAAATACTGTATGAAGTACAGTCAAGTAATTACCATGTGGTGAAAACAGTATTACAATGCTGGTGTCTCCCTAACAATGAAAATAAATATATCTAACAACAACATGATGAAACTGAAGTATATCTAAAAACTGTCTAATTCTTCCCCACACAGGATGGGTCTAATTAAGCAACCTCACTCACTCATCCACATATTCTTCACAGTAAAGTGGGGGAAAAATAGTACTGAGAGAACTGAAAATTTGGCTCTAGGGAATGAGAGAAAATTGTACATCGTGTTTACAGATTTAGAGAAGGAATTTGAGAGGGTGCCACGTGAAGTAGTAATGTGGGCAATGAGAAAGTTTGTATGAGCGGTTATGATATTTATAAGTGAACTCAAAAACGTCTTTGTGAGTAAATGGTGAGAAATTTGAGTTGAAAGTAGGGGTATCTCAGGAGTCTGTCTTTAGCTTCCTGTTTATCATGGTGATGGATTTAAAGATTAGCCTTCCCTGGGAGTTGTTGAATACTGATGACTTAGTGGTGAGAGTAGGTTATTGAAGAGAGTGGAGAAATGGAAGGAAGGAATAGAGTCCAAGGGTCTGTGAGTGAATTTGGCAAAAACAAAAGTATTGATTAACCCACTGACACTCCTGGCCATGATCAGAAATCTTACCCCGCTCTCAGTCTTTCGACGCAGGTTTCATCGGTAACAGAAACGTGTTTTCCATTTTTTTAAATATTAGGTAGAGCTGAGGGTAGACCAACAATAATATGAGAAATAGTTGTAAGATATGATATTAGAGTTAGGAACCTGACAAGAGAGATTGCAAGAGACCATGCAGCATAGAAAGTTGCTATTAGACAACCGTGGCTAACCCAGCAAGCATGGAAAATGGCTGTAGAACAATGATGATGAGGGATGATAAAAAGTGGCAAAAACCCAAAATAAGCTGTATTAGTTGCCGGCTGATAACATAAAAATCCTTACCCATGTCTTCTTGCTGGTCACGTGATGTAGCTGGTCTTGAGTATAGACTTGAAGACTTGGTGCGTAAATTTAAATCACGGAGCTGCTTTTCCAAGTCCTTCTTCTGGAAATGTTTTAAGATTATCAAGATTCGATCATTAATTACAGAATATTCTTGAAGCACAAAAGTGTTAAAAGTCCTGCTGAGGAATGTACACTAAAATAGGTAGTGTGCCCAGTAACCTGTCATGATGGTTGGGCTAATACAGTACAGTACTGTTAATGGTTTTGTGGCAAGTATGATTAAATTTCAGATGAATTTGAATTACTTGAAGGTGAGTTTGATATAATTTAAGGAAACCTAAAAAAAAAAAAAATTGTAGCTGGCATGAATAAATTAACCTGGTTGTCTTTAATGAATGGATTAGAGAAGGCTTACCTAAAAAGATAGAAGCTGAGTGCACCAATAAGTGATCTCAGTTGCTATGGTCTCAAGAATAATTAGGACCTTATAAGTTTATGTTTTATGTCACTGTTTGATTTTATTTATATCTTTCATATTTTTTTCACGCTTTTTCACTTTTGTTCAGACAAGCAGGCTGCCCAAATACAAATATTGTTTAAGTCTACTTTTAGTTGACACTGCCTAATACTGCAGACCCTGAGCTTGTGGTAGCTGGTTTGAATAAGTTTGTGGCTAAAGCATATTAATTTGTGTAGATTATTAATGAATTTATAAAACAAGAGAATAGTGGTTGCTGTATTTGGAAGGCATCTCTCATAATACAAGGTAGCTTACTGGGTTCTCTTGTTATCAGACACCTTGTTATTTTAGCCACAATTAAGCTGTTAGTCCATTTGAATACAGTATATTGATCACCCTTCCCTCTCTATCACACTGCCTACTTACTTCTGATGAGGATAGATTTGGTGTAACAATTGCCCTCTAGAGGCTTGGAGATCCTATTTGAGCTGTGTGTATCCATTCAGCACAGGCCAATCTACCATTATAAATTAAGATTTTAACTGACAGCCATTTAGAATAGTTGCTTATGACTATGGCCTTCTTATTTCTATAAAAACTGTGTTGAGCTTCTTTATGACACATCGGGGATGGTTGGTAGGGAATATTAGTTTTACTTCTTATATTTATGTAAGGCTGGAATTTAGTTTTACATGAACTGTGACTCAGCTGTTGCGAGCTGGTGAGATGGTTGACACCACTCATTACCACACCTAAGGTTAAGGATAGTTTTAGTCCAGATGTGAGGTTTGACTTCTGGTTGGGTGACAGGTATATCCAAATGGATTAACAAATCATTCCTGCCTAACATTATGGGGAATTGTCTGATGACAGAGAACCTCCCCAGTAAGCAGCCTTGTAGTACATACGACCTAAAGATACCCTTTACAATGGACTGCTTACCTCCTCCTCACGAGCATCTCTAGGTCCAATACTGAAAAGAGGCAGACCACCCCGAGGCAGTGGTGTAAAGGTCCCAAATGCTTTTTTAGGGAGGTGTGTCTCACTTAACTGGCTGTGTAAGAAGTAAGCTTTGTTCAACAATGGCTTCACAGGTACCCAAGACTCCTGGTTATAATAAATCTGAAATGTATTGCAGTCATTAAATATGAAAAATATTATATTTAATGACAGGCTGAGTGTCTGTTTAGCACACACTGCGTGATCTTGTTAATTGCATTTCTTAGCATAAAAATCCTGGACAAGTGATGTGAATAATGGTTTTATGCATTCAAAAATAATTTAAACATATCAGTACTCAGAATGGTGTGATATAAACTACAGCTAAAAATTTATCTTACCCTGATTTCATGAGCATCAGTGCAGGTGAGAAGTGTTTGGCAGGACTTAAGTGTAAATCCTGCAGCAACACATGGCAGGAATGAGGGAGGGTTTGACAGAATGTGGTCCCACAGCACCAGCCAGTCACCGGGGCACAAAACCTATTCGGAAATGTACGAGATAATGGAGTCTTTCATTCAATTAAAAAAATGACCTTTACTGTACACACTTAATTAATTTTTACTATTTTCTTGGTAATGATATTCTACTGTTACATCTAGAAAGAAAGATTGGTTACTTTACAATATACTGTGTGTGACTTTAGTTAACATGCATGATGGAAAGCTACTTGGAGCCAGTGCACAAACCAGCTACCAATTCTCCCTTACAGGAAACCACAGTAGTTTTCTGTGCCTAATTAGATGTAACCAAACCATACCCATTCAAATATGACAGAATTAAATTTAACCTAACTCAGTCAACTAAGCACATCTCCGGCACTCGCATGTACTGTACTCAAGACACTATTCAATCCCACCTCCTATTAAGAGACTCAATACAAAATACATTTCAACGGTTCCCACATCAGCCATAAAGATCCTTAATTTTTTAGTTCAATGCAACTTTATCTGTCCATTTTTACTGGTACTGTATCTTATTCATGTCTACGGTGTTTTTAGTCTTTCATCAATAGTTTCAAAGGAAGTGATATTATAAACATCAAGAACCTGGTACAGTGACAATATTACATAAGAACACTTCATATGCCCTCGGTGATATTGAAAGTCAAGATTTACACTGCACTAAGAAAATAAATGTAACACAATTAATACAATAATAATGGGGAAAAGATATACAATACTCACTTTAGAAAATGCATTGGTAAGCAGTGACCAGGCATAGTCTTCAGCCGTTACTCTGAGCTTCATAAGATGAGCCAATAATGTAGGATTGACCTCACATATGATTTGCTCAATCACATTAAGGACTGTTAATCCTGGTTTGGGCCAAAATTCGAACCACAAACGACACCAATTCACTGAAATGATATTGCACTATGTAATATTCTTACTGACATTGGTTAACACGATCTTCTGAGTCACAGACACAAGCGATGCACTATAGCGGGGGTTCCCAAACCTGGGGTCGCGACCCCAAATGGGGTCGGAAGGCTCATTAGGAAGGGTCGCAAAGAGGTCATGGGGTCGGTGGGGTCCTTTGGGTCTGCCAGTGAAATGATTTGGGGTCGCACTGGATAGTTGACAACACTGGATTGGGTCGTGCTAGAAAAAGCTGGGGAACCCCTGCACTATAGCAATAATTTACTACATAAATTTCTTATGACGCTTGTATGTAATCTACTAAGCCACACACACCACTCTTAATACACCACTTCACTACAATACTTCCTTTAGTCCTTTACCGAGTTTTTTATGGGATTTGTCACATGACCTTCCAAACTTTAAGCAAAAGCAAGTCCCTGACTACTATTACATCCTGAAAAATTATGAAACTTGTACTGTGATGGGATTCAGAATTTTGGAGCGTAACCAACATTTAAAACAGCTGTAGGAACACAAGACATCAATTAAGGGACTTCATATGCTTTTCAGGTATGAAATAGTGGAAAAATTTGCATTTCTGTATTTGGCATTTCATTTAGGTTTTAGGTTCATATGCATCATGCACCAGGTAGTAGGGAGTATTTGTGCACAGTCAGTTAGGATCAGTGGAGTGGACCCTAAGCAGTTGGTTGAATCAGATGTGCCATCCCCTGAAAGAGTTAATAACCCAACCTTGCTGAGCTTGAATTTGCGAGGTACACATGAAGCGAGAAACACGCACACACACACAGACAAAAAAAAAAGGGCCCACTTACTAATAATCGTAACTGTAACTTCAAAACAGAGGAGGGGGTTACTGTGGAAAACTTTGACAAACGGGAACACAAACTCGGGTAAATACTCCACATTGGCGAGAAAGGGCGCCCAGTGAGCCAGACAGGAGAGAGTTCTGATGGAAAAAAAACAAAAGAAAACACAGCACATTGATGAATTATGAAGACAACACAAGAGATATAGTACCAAAGAAATTATATACAAGAGAGAGAATACGATAATACTCAAAGAAGTTATATATAATGTCCACCCAGTGTTTCGTATTTAGAGTTACTGAATTATATTACTTGTTATTTCTTTCTCCACGTGGTATAGCGAGGGTTAAAGTACTAGCTACACATTGTGGGTCTATTAGTGCTTGGGATGGATGGTGAAGTCAGTAAATCCCCCCACATTGTATGCTTTTACATGTGAGATTTAAAAGTTCTAAATTCAGTAATAATAATAAAGATAATAATGATAATAATAATAAATAATACTCCAGGTAATAATATAAGAGATAAAACAGCTAAATTAAACCCACCCTTGGAGTGTTTTCAGCAGTGATCCATCAGACAACTGCAAAACCTCCTGCAATCCTTCAAAAGCTGTGTGAGTTCCCTTGTCGAGTAACGAGCTGAAGACCGAGTAGTTGCGTGGCACTTCCAGCATGGATATCCATATCAAGTTTCTATATTTCTCTGGGTATCCTTTGAACTCTTGCAGGATCTGGTACCACTTATTCTTGTCTAGAATTTCCTGAAAGAGAATGATCATCACAATGAGACAGAATTCCTAAGCATTCACTGGAAGCAAATCATGCGATATATCCCAAATTTCCTCTAATATTAAACGCTGTAAAACCAACCTGCATTTCCTTAGACCTTTCCTTCTTCTCTTCTCTTTTAATTTCCTCTTCACGATATTCCTTCTCCATTTTTTCAACAATTCTAAAGGCTACTTCTTCTTTGGCCACCTGGGAAACTGTAATGTTTTTAGGATCGTCAGGAAAAAGGGCTCTGACGGAGTAAACTTTTGTAGTGCTGTTTGCAAATGTCACCGCTATGAAGTTACCATCATCACTGACACTCACCGAGTCTGAAATTATTAGACAGCATTAATATATATCACTTACAGTATCACCTGAAGATGATACAACCCAGCCTATTTCATCTAAAGACTAACTACCCTAATGCTAAATTGCTAACCTAACCTAACCTAATCTAATCTAACAATAACCTAATCTAATCAAACCCTAACATAATCTAACTCACCCAGGTAGTATTAGGGTGTTCAATCATCAGGTGAAATAAGCTGAGGGGCTGATCTTCAGGTGATCCCACATACAATACAGTGGAACAAAAAATTTTGATTCATACTGACTCGAAGCATCTGGTCAGTTAATGACATAATGTAGAAAAGGCCAAGACTGTCACACCTGCTTCAACAACTTAGAGCTCAACTCTAAGGCATTAAAGGAATCAAATTAAATGAAATCACAATATTTTCTTCTCATTAATCAAGTGCACAGTGTGTTTAGCTGTCCCTTCCTCAGTAATACTCATTGTGTAGCAGTTTATCTCACAGCTAATTGATAATGTGCCTTCAAAATCCACAAACTCATCCATTTGTTATTAACTTTCTAACCGACCATATCTTCTGTAAGTCTTTATTCATTAAGGCATCAGTACATATACAGTATCATGCATGAAAAATCTTTAAATAATTGCCCATTAAAAATTTTCTACTTTCATACATTACCTTCCATCAATCTGATATTCTGTACTGTGCCATAATTTTAGTGCATCAGGTAACTCTATACTAACTGACTGACTGACTTCATTCACTGAGGGACCTTATAACCAATTCTCATTTACATTACATATCATAGAAAACTACACAATTATGATGTGATACTGAATGAATCCATCTTTAAACCACTGTATAGTACTCAGTCTCATCTTTTGTGAGACACTTGGTAGAATCTGATCTCTCTATGATGTGTACTGTATGTGACTTTATATACACACAGTTTATACAAAGGAAGAACAGACACAAAAAAAAAACACTAAATACTGACCAATATTAAATCTCTGGGATCTTATTGTCTTGAGCTTTGTGGCCGAGGTAAAATCTATAATGTTTAATACACCGGTGGAGTTTAGCACAGCCAAGACCTGTATGGGGGAGGGAAAACACAGCATCACTAGTCTGACTCTCTGGGATGTTAGAGCTTCTTCTTTTTTTTTTTCCTAATGGTGATGGACTGAAGGAGGAGAGATGGACCTATGACCAGGGTGTACCTTCTGCCAATTACGTTAGTTCCTGATGTCACACACAGGTTCAGAGAAAGGTTAAGTTTATCTCCAATATTTGTCTACATGTCTGCGAATATGTCAGCCAGTGGGGATGTAATGCTGCTGTACCACCAGTAATAATTCACACTGGACATGAATTAGCCTTTGCTGTCTCAGTGATAATCCCCCACCCTATATCCTTCTCTCTCTCTCTCTCTCTCTCTGGTCCTGCTTGTTATTTTGGTCATGTCTCCATCTATCATCATTCAGTCCTTTTAGAATATACAATAATACGAATCAAACTATTTAACACACACACACACACACAAGTTAGATAATATTTAAGGGCAAAACCTGAAGATATAAGAGAGTCTAGTCCTGTACACCAACCTGGCTAAACTTTGGATGTATGGGAGGGAGGAACACAGGGTGGAATATGTCAGTGCAGGAGGTAGGTAGCTGGACCACCTGAGCCACACACTGACTGATGAGAGAATAAGTAATCAGGAGATGACTCTTACCTCCACCCACCAGCCATTCTCCTCCCCTGTAATACAAGTAAAAATATTAATAAACAAATGTACGTACCGGTTGTTATATTGCTGTATGAAGTCTAGAGGGAAAATAAATAATTTCTTAACCCCCTGTGTATGGAGTCCCCTCTGTACTGAATAAAATCATTTGGTGTTAGCTAAATAAAATAATCAAAGTGGCATACCTGTAGTAATGGGGTTAATATGTAGTTAAGTTAGTATTATTACATCCTATTTTATAACTTCCTTTTTTAAATATATATTAATTCTGGCTACAGCTCAATACTGTAGCCCCATCAACAAGTCTGCTACATATTTACTAACAAATAACAACTACAAAATGTATATAAAGACAAAAACAATAAATTGCAATAAATGATATACCAGTACATAAAAGATGAAGGAATGTATATAAAGGTATGAAAAAATTTATATACAATAATAAAAATGAAACAATAGACAGAATAATTGTAATTATCTTTAAAATCCATCTAAATACAGGGTACACTTTGTAGATGAAGGAAGAATTACCTAATGTGTGTATATATAAGAGGTGAAGACGTAGGCAGAGAATTAGAGAAAAAGAACATTTGCTATATAGTTATGAGAATACATGGATGAGAACGTGCTCAAAGGAAAGGGAAGATTGTGAGCCATAACAAAACATACGACAAATTGTTCGAATAGGATGGAAAAACAGACAAGTAGATAAAGAAAAGACAGATGGGCAGCTCAGTAAACAATGGGTATATATTCCAAATAATGTATTACCTTGATAGAGCAAAAGCTTCAAAATCAAAGTGGATACCCTTGGGTGCTTCAATGTGTATCTGAACATTTCGTTGGTGAGTGACCCACATGAGGACGCTGCCATCGATGAAGCTCACCACTAGCTCATCCCTCTGCCACACATGACCTGCCTGGGGAGACAGTGTACAGGGTATGTTAAAGTTGTCAATTATGACTTTATAGTACAAGCAAAAATAACAAGAAAATAATTTATAGTTCACCTGATTTATATCCCTTCCTTATACAGTCTTGTGCCATCTTTGGTGTGGCACTGAGGCTTATATTGTAGTGCAGTACAGTGCACTAAATCTAGAGAAGCATTACATCTGCTTTGTTTTATTCTTTTAATGAAAAATGAAAAATTCAGCTTTAAATATTAATTTCTTTTGGTACAGGACTTGAACTAAAATAAGTACTGTACAGTATTGTAGTTTGAAAAAACCCTACAAACATGTCTACAAATCTTACCCAAACTACAGCAACTCTGTCATCATGTTTCATCCTCCTGCTGAGGGCGACTGATGGCCACGACCAGAGTAGCACTTCCTTAGAGTTATGGGTTATGACCAGTGGTGAGCGCGCCCCTGATTGAATTCCTTCGACTGGTACTCTGTGGCCTTCCATCACTACCACGTTGCCATCGTCTGCCAAGCATATGGTATACTGTACAATCAAATGAAGAACAAACAATTAGTGATTTGTTAAAAATAAAGTGAAAGTTGGTCCCATAGACCTGATGGGTCAGTGCAGATACAACACACTGAACACTAATTCTTTGGTACCACCCACCCACAACAAACTGGGAATGAACTTCATATTTCAACAAAAAAGCAACACTGCCACATTCCTGACTTGACAGTCCTCTATTTTACTAAAACTCACTCACCAACATTGATGTTGTACACTTTACAAGAGGCTGTGGCCACGAAGAGAGAGTTTTCTTGATAAGGGTGGAATGTAAGAGCTGTACATTGCTCTACTAATCTTTTCAGCAAATAGAATCTGAAAGAAACCCAGAATTAGATTTTTAATATACTCAACCTGTCCATAATGCATGACTGCTTAAAGACATAACTATGTATCCAGAACTTTAGTATAGGATTCAAGTTCATGTTGTATTAAAGAAACATATTCTGTCGTTATGTATATTTTTTAAAACACAAAATGATCAAATATAAGCCATTGTCCGACAGCACCATTAAGGGATCGAATAAGATGCTGTGTGAATCTCCTACCTTGCAAGAAGCCCATTACTCACTTATTGTTAACCATATTGATAATGAAGAGTCTGTTGGAGGCATCTTCCCCACGTGTGACTGTGGCCAGGTAGGTACAGTGACAACTCAGAGCCGCAGCCTGTGGCCCGCCAGTCCCAAGAACTTCCAACACTGGTCTGACACACAACACAAATTTGTGAAAATAGTCAAATATTAAATGTTATATCTGTGGTATATACAAACTATATGTATATTATAAAAATCATACATAGAAACGAAACAGAAGAGAGCATATGATGTTGTACTAATACAGTATACATACATAATAAAGGGAGTAAAGAGGATTAATTTTAAAGTTACAAATAATCAGTTAAGTAAAAAAAAAGGTTGAATTACTGTCCCTATATCATAAAGGCACAATGCACTCTTACTAAATATACAAGACCACAAAGACATAAGCTATAAATATTATTTTTTCTACAACAACAACCAACATCCCTGCAGGAACATACGAAAGTTTTATTGAAGTCTTGTGAGCAGATAAGTTAAAGTTCTCTGGCCAGATGTTACCCGAGGCTTCATCCAACACAGCTTGTGGCCGCATAGTCACTGTAATTCACCTGTGAGAAACAAAAAATAATAATCTTTGCCATGCTAAAAAAAAAAATGCCATGTCACTCTACTTAATCATTACCAAATATATATAATATGACAAACAATAGAAAATGCTGCTGGTGCTCAGAATTAAGCTAAGAAATACTGACATAAAGAAGTTATTGAGCTTAATACTTTGAAATGTTCCTTAAAAAGTAAAAGTAAACTGAATGATCAACAAATTGTGGGTAAATATCACAGAAAACATAATGTGAGGCAGGCGGGTCATATAGGTTTACCATTATTTTACTACGTTGCCTTCACTAATCATCACAAATAACCACACAGCACTGTACTATACTCACTTATACACTCTTATAAGTTTTCGTCACCATAAATAACAAAACTATAAACTATAAACAGCCATAAAATAACATTCCTCAATAAACAAGACAGACATTCAAAACATCATGGTGTCTAAAGGTATAGTCAATAACTCCTATATAATTTAAACAACAATGTATAATAAAATATAAATTAAAATATCATCAGTTATAGTTAGAAAATTATGATTGGTAATAAATGTTTAACTATATCTTTATTTTTTGGGGTTAGTTATAAATATTAATACGATAGATGGTAAAACATGCTGCTGTGGGTTAGGGTTGGCAGCCATTTGCATGCGACGGCGTTTCATGAAGATCAGTTATAATTATTAATCTCTCCTGTACTGTACCATGGAACTAGATTCTGAAGACATATTGAATGAGGTAAGATTCATAATTTAGTGTTTATTTAAGTCGATATATAGGATTTAAAGGATTAATATTTTTTTTTTAATATGTTTAGTTTGCCTGTGGTAGTTTTCATCACTATATACTTCAGGAGTTTATTCTTCCTTGTGTGTTGAGGGAGAGAGGGAGTGATGTGCTTAACTCTCACTTATCATGACTTAAATTACCCAATCCTTAATTTAAATCCCTCTTTAGGCCGGGTTTAGTGGCTGAGAGAGGTAGACTAAGAATTCCCCCCCAAGTGGTCATAGGAGTTATGGTTAATACTATATATTTTAATACACTTGAGTTTTGATGTATGTAGATTATACTTTACTACTTGTTAAATCACTAAAGTTTTCCTGTACACTACAAGTAATTATAAACGAGAGAGGTAAATTTAAGTGTTTTTATTTGTCTTTCAGGTTTATTTGAGACAGGTTTAGGTATAGTTTAAGTAATTTTTTCAATGTTTGATTTAATGCTTAAAGTACTAATTCAATAGGAGAGTTAAGGAACTAAATCCCAGGGTATTTGTTGTGAGGTTAGCTTTTACAGGACCTTTTAGACACCCCAGCTTATTTCACCTGAAGATTAGACATACCAGCTTACTTCACAAGATGATTAGGTATCCCAGCTTATTTCACCTGAAGGTTTAGACACCAGCTTACTTCACCTGACCATCAATCACCCTAATTCTACTTGAGGTGTTAGGTTACAGTGGTTGAACTTCAGGTGAAATAAGCTGAGGTATTTAATGTTCAAGTGATCTACAATATGTCTCTACTTGTTGAAGTCATAGCAGTCAAACTTTGAATTTTCCAGACTTTATTTTATAATAAATAATGTATCGTAAAAACAATATTTTGAAGCAGGTACAGTCGTCCCTCACTATCTGAATGGGTTTGGTTCCTTGTAAACCATTTGACATCAAATGACATAATAAATGGGAAAAATAGGATTAGGTTCCCAGTGATAAGAAAACCCCAGTATAATATACCTAAATTTTTTACAATGGTTCATGAACAAAAGTACTTAAACAATTGCTAAACTAAATAAAATACTGTACAATACTGTATACAGTTGGTACTTTATCAGGGCAGTGAGGACTCACCACGGGGTGAGGAAAGGTGCGTTGAGTAAGAGCTTTACTCAGGACATTACCATGTTTCATATAACGGAATATCACTTTTGGATAGTGAGAAAGTGAATTTTTGTTTAGTGAACAATCATATAGCGAGGGATACCCATAAAATGAACCAACCAAACCTTTCCTTTACTTTATCCTCTATATCACTAACTGCTTGGACGATTGGTCAATTAATGATAAATAGAATCTGGAAATAGAATCACCTGAATCTTAGGCACCTCGGCTTATAATACGAGGTAATTAAACATCCTCATACTACCTGGGGAGGTTAAGTTAGGTTAGCATCAGGGTTCGTTAATCTTAAGTTGATATAAGCTAGGGTGTCTAATCTTCACATTATCCTGTAAAAAAAAATTACTTAAGCAATATTATATTGGTTCATTTTGGCAGTTTTCAAAGAAGTGAGTAAAATTGAAATTCCCAAGAAGATACAAACATTACAGGTTGCTACTGAGGTACTGTACTCTATATCCACCCTTAAATGAGTATGGGCTCTTCTTGGGTTTATGTAGGCTTAGGTTAAGGGTTGGTACAAAAAATCTCTTAGGCTGTGAAGATTCAGTTGAGTGGTTCACTGTAGGGGCTGTAATAAGCTTGTCATTTTGGTGTGAGTCGAGACATTCTACCCCACCTTTTGACCAGAACTGTTGTGGGAACCTGTTTGGTCTGCCTTGGGACCTGTAGAGCAGCACCCGGACAGTCTAACAGTACGGTACTGCACTATACTGTTGGTTAGATCACAGTCAGATCCAGGAACTTATAGGGTTGGGATAGGACGGGTCAAAGATTTGTTAACATCAAGGGTGAGGAGGACGGGAGAAAATTTTAAAATTTTAATCTTACATGGTGGATTTTGAATGCGGTTTTAACATACAGGTACTGTATTAACCATAGTACAGTACAATACAGTACAGTATCTCATCTATTATAAGTGAATTTTGTGTATAACCCTCTCAGAGAGCACAATTTATATCAAATTTATTTTTGTTTACCCAAATCTGTTCAGGGTTTTATTGCATCTAAAGATTTCATACAGCATGCAGTACTTTATGTACAGTTCTGTACAGGTATTATTACAGTTTTCTCGGATTGTGGCTTCATGTACTGTACTTCAGCTAAGATTATACAGTACTGTATACTTCTTTTCCAACAGGTTGATGAACTGCTCAGCAAACTTGATAAACTTCCAGATGATGTGCGGCTACAGGCCCTCAAGAAGCTTTCTCAAAAGGTAAAATGAACAAGTTTATTATTAAGACTACTGCTACTTTGTACTGTACACTATACTGTTCTGTATATATGAATAAATTTTTTAAGGAATTCATGTTTAAAAACGTGGCTGTATTTTTCTATTAATACTTTATTGTTTTTAAATCTGGCTCATATACTGTACTGTACAATATATTGGAACAATACCAAACTCAGTGGAAAGCACAATACATTATACAGTACTATTCAGTATAACAAATCTGTTTGTGAAATAGGTCATTAAAGAAGTAACTCATCTGCTATAGGTTGTTGGACAGCGAAGACTATACTGTACTGTGTTCAATATATAGTTCTCTCAAGTCTTGTCAATGCTGTACATAATTATCTTTTAAAGTAATAAAATGTACAGTTGATATCAGAATAGTGTATACGTGTTGCATTGTCTATAAAGGTGTCGGCTCCGAGGCTGCGTGGGGGAAGAGGAGGTCGAGGTAGAGGCCGAGGAGCATGGAGACGCCCAGCATCACCACTATGTACAGATACCAAAGTTCAGGTAAGACTATATTTTGCTTAAATATAAATATGGAGACGCAGTATGTAAATATGCTCGTACAGTTCACAGAAATAGCTGAAAACAGAATGAAGAGAGAGAATATAAGGTGAAAGTGGGAGATCATGATGTATTTAAAAGTTTTGGACTGAAGAATGTGTCTGAATCACGTAATTTTGTTTTATCTTTTCAGTTTTGTAGATTTCAGGAAAGCTAAAACCATTATAGATAGGATGGGGTAGTCCATATGTTTGTCTTATTGTCTATATTGTCTTAATTTTTCAGACTGTAAACATCAAGAAAGAACCTGTCGAAGAATTCACAGAGACTGACACTGATCACTCGGGGACACAGACTGAAATTAATGAAGCAAAATTAAGAAGAATTGAGGATGAAGCGCAAGAGAAGTTCCTAGGTATCGAACAACAGGCTGGAGAAGAGGCAGCAGTTGTAAAGGAGGTAAAGGCTAAAACTGGGAAGAAGAAGAAGGGGAAAACATCACCAGACAATATCATAGTATCAGGTGAGTTTGGACCAGGGTTTAAATATGTCTTAATACTGTAGTTAACTTCTTACAGTCTTGAGTCATCCCTTCCCACTGACAGTCTTCCAACTGCCTTCTTTCATCTGTTCATCTGCAGATTTTTTTTTTTTTTTTTAGCTTTTGCCTCAAACTTTTAATTTTTCAGGATGACTTCACTAATTCCACTGAGTTTTGGTGCTAGTGGGTGTGGTTTAAAATACTGACAAACATTCTTTTTATTTCAGGTCGGCGCCACACCAAGAAGGTCAACTACAGACAACTGGCAGAATATGGCCATGGGAATGAGAATCAGGAAGAGGAGGAGACGACTCAAGGTGAGATGATTGAGGGAAAACAATGAGACATTTTAGATTATAAATGGGAATAGATGGATAAAACTGATGAAAATGTGGAAATAAGAGGAATAAGATGATTTCAGAATAATAAAGAAAGGAAATCAGAGGAAACGATGTTATTATAATAATAGTAGATGGATATATATACAGCACTAACATGGACTGGATTTGAGATGGAGTATAGTTATAGATAAAAAGAAGAGGTTAATTGTAGAAGAAGGTCAAAAGTAATGTCTACAGATACATAGTAAGTGAGAATGTGTGTGTGTGGAAGAGATCTTTTAAGAATACAGTGTCTAGGGCTGTGGGACTTATACATTGGATTAAGTATCTCTGGTTAAGTTAGGTCAGGCTATTGTATTATGTATATTGTGATCTTTATTATTCTACCTCAGCCCCCCTTATAACTGTGACCTTCCTTAATACCATGACCTCCCTTATACCATGACCTCCCTTATACCATGACCTCCCTTATACCATGACCTCCCTTATACCATGTCCTCCCTTATACCATGACCTCCCTTATACCATGACCTCCCTTATACCATGACCTCCCTTATACCATGACCTCCCTTATACCATGTCCTCCCTTATACCATGTCCTCCCTTATACCATGTCCTCCCTTATACCATGTCCTCCCTTATACCATGTCCTCCCTTATACCATGTCCTCCCTTATACCATGTCCTCCCTTATACCATGTCCTCCCCTTATACCATGACCTCCCTTATACCATGTCCTCCCTTATACCATGACTCTTATACCATTATACCATGTCCTCCTTATATCATGTCCTCCCTTATACCATGTCCTCCCTTATACCATGTCCTCCCTTATACCATGTCCTCCCTTATACCATGTCCTCCCTTCCAACTCACTGTCACCTACTTACTTTAGACTACTCATTTACCACATCTTTGGTATCAACAGCATTTTATCACTACTGTAACTCACAATTTCCTTATAATTTCAGCGGACATCAAACCCCAAGCTGTTTTACCCCAAGTTAAGCGTGGTCGGGGTCGTCCTAGGAAGTATCTCCCGGTGGTGCCAACAACTACCACGGCCATGCAATGCAGCTCTGGTACTCAGATGGGTGATAAGTGCACGACTAATGCGAACGACGACAAAGAAAACCCCGGGATGTCAGAAGAACAAGGTCATTAATAAGTACAGTTTATTGTTATGATGGCCAGTATACGTGCAGCCATTGTTTCCACCAGTAGTGTCTTAAAGGGCCTAGATGTTGGCACTATTTGATGATTAATAATATGGCTATGGTTGCAGCAATACTCTCTGAATAATAATTAAGTGTGTGTGGTTATAGCAATGTTTTATAGGTATTGTAATAGAGTTTGGACCCTTCATCTAGATTCATTGTAGCAGAGGAGCTAAAGTGAAAGAATGACATTGAGTGAGGTATAACGCCAGTTGCTCTCAATTTTGACCACTTTAGGCCTGTAGTAAATGGGTTGCATATGGAATAAGAAATATTTTTATAGGTAATTGATTAGCTTTGGTTGATGTTATTGTCTAAGTGGTGTTTAACTTATGACTGCTGTAAGTACAACAGTGGCTTTTGCTTACTTTTGTACACACCAACATTCTTGCTTCTATTTTTCATTACAGGAATCAATAGTTCTTAATCATTGACTGTACTCTGAATTTCACATTTAATTTATTAACTGTTTTTTTTTTATTAATAATTGTACTTTTATTTCATGTGTTTAATTAATTGTTGTTCTATACTCACTCAGGTAATGAACTTGACCTGTTGGAGAGCTGCCTGAAGGAGAGTGGCATCAAGGCTGGGGATGCTGACAGAGGAGGTAAGAAGACTAATGAACAGCAGGAGAAAGTGGGAGAGAATGAAGCTAAGGCAAGTGTACATGTAACAGAGGAAGAGGAGGAAGAGGATGATCCGAAAACTGAAGTGCAGAATGTGTATGTGTGTGACACTGTCGAGGCTGTTGACAAGGTTCTAAAAAAGGTTTGTAAAATTATCTTTCTTCCAGCCTTGAAGTTTTATGAGTTAATTGACTGTATTCAAAGACTTGGGTACCGTAATGTTAAATAGATATAGCACAAAAGGAAGACATTTAAAAATATTTGAGAAAAAATTTTAGGCACAGTTGTAAGCATTGAAGAATTCCATTGATGAATTTCTATATTAAAATGACAGGAAATATTTAAATGTTAATAAATTAATGCTCAGATACTTGGACATCCTTGTATGGGAGTCACTTGGTAATATAGTTGGTGATGGGCAGGGACAAGGCAGATGTTGAAACAACCTCAGCTGCTAAGACCTCACAGCTCTAGCTTATATCACAACCAGGAAACCTAAAAATAAGTAGGAATAAAGCCTGATCAAAGTAGGAATAAAGCCTGATCATTGCTTACATTGATACGATCAAACGTCTCAAAATATAATAATCAATTTGGGTTACCGTAACTATTAAAGAAACTGACCCTCTATTTATCAGAACTGTAATAGGTATTTTTTTTTGTGTACTGCACTGTATTAATGGATTGGGATTAAACTTATTTTCCTATTCATGATTTTCAGAAAAGCATCAAATCTCAGTACAAATGTGACGAATGTGGGAAAATGTATTCCACGATGTCCATATTAAGTAAGTATATCCGCAGTAATGATTTGTAACTCTTGCCTGATATACACACTGGGTAAATCATCAAAGTATATAATATTTTGTGAATTTCTATGTTCAAAAAATGTAAATTAGTAAGTGCACTCTAGTTACTTATTGTCAGTCATCTTTTAACATATTTTATTTTAGTTATTATCATCGTCATCATCATCATCAATCACTGTTTTATGGTCACTTTCATGAGATAGCCATGATTACCTGATGCCAACTATCCAAGCTATGTGGTCTCTTGTAGCCTCTCTTATCAGGTTCTTATCTCTGAGGCTATTTCTTGCAACCTCTCCTTATGTCATTCTTGGCATACCCTTAGTTCTTCTCCCTCCACCTTCAGACTCAGGCATGTCTTGACCCCATTGGTCTCCTCCATTCTCTCCACATGCCTGAACCATCTCAACCTACCTCTACACAAAACCATTCAGTGTCACATTACTCATCCACCTCACCAATCTCATTTCAGCTTGTTCAAACCTACTTGTCTTATCCTCAATAACTGCCCATGTTTCTTTGCCATACATCACCACCCTTCTCATGCCAGTTGCTTACATCTTTCTTCTTTTCCTATTAAGAGAAGGTCCTCTTGCTGTCAATAAAGGCAGCAGCTCCCAAAACTTCCTCTATCCACTTCTGACTCTTGCAACTGAGCTGGCTTCAGCACCCCTTCAAGCACTGATCATATCACCCAGGTAGCAGGGATACATATCCCCAGTGTTGAGTTTCTCTAACCTTGCTGATTACATGCTCATGTCTCCTTAGCAAGGCTGGAGAAACTCAGCAGTGCATGTTTTTATTTGACATGATATATTCAAAGCTGTATTGGGATATTTCATTGATAAAATTAATTCAGAATATATTTTCAGAAACACATCAGATTCGACATAGAGATAAAGCAGATTTACCCTTCAAGTGTAATGAATGTGACTTTAGCGCAGCATCGAAAATTGAACTATTTCGTCATGCCTACAAGCACACGGATATTCAACTGTATATTTGTGAAATTTGTGGCAATACATTCTCAAGAGATACAAGCTTAAGGGAACACATCGAGTATGTTCATGCCAAAACTCGTATATTAAAATGTGCCCAGGTGAGTGTTATTGGTCTTTGTAATGGTGACTCAGATAAAGCATTAATAAAGTACAGTATTGTATTTGTATTGATTCATGTCATATGTTTAATGTACTGTGGTGCCAGTTAGTTATACCTCCACAAATTAGTAAGAACTATTATGTCTTTGCAGTGTAATTTTGTGACTTATCGCCGTTCCTGTATGCGCAATCACGTTCTAACCCACGAGGGAACACGACCAGTCATTGCCTGTCCTGTGTGTGGAGTTACGTTTAGGTCAAAGAGAAACTTGAGGGCACATCTTTTTTCTCATGCTGGTTAGTTGTGGGTCTCGATTATTTTTCCTGTGAGTCTAGATTAATTTTCCTGTGAGTAAGATCTTTTTTCCTGTGAATCTAGATTATTTTTGCTTCGATTACATTTACCAGATAATGATTCAGGTTCTTGTATGATGTTAATGTTGACAATACAGTACTATTAGTTATTAAATTATTGAATACCATATGAGATATTTAATTAGTACAGTGATAAAGTAACTTAATGTTTCTTTCAGGTGCTAAACCCTTTGCTTGTGAAGAGTGTGGTAAGAAATTCATCATGAGGAATCGTCTAGCGGCCCATAAACTCCAAGTTCACGGCCCCAGAACACACAAATGCTCTCACTGCATCAAGGTTTGATTTGCATTTAGTTAATTTTTTTTAGTGTAGTAAATTTGATGTGGGAATTTGACATTAAAGTTGATACAGTAATTAATATATTACAATTGTCCCCTGTTAGTACATATGTGGCTCTATTATTGCCTCCGTGTTGTTATTTGACTCATATTATGTATTTTTGCAGCATTTCCCCACTATTCATCACCTTCGTCGGCACATCAGGATTCACACGGGCGAGAAGCCATACAAGTGTTGCTTCTGTGCCTTCTCTTGTAACACTCAAGGTAACCTCATCAAACACATCAGACAAGTTCATGACAAGATTAACTTCACTTATAAGGAGTAAGTTGTGTGTCAGTATCAGCTTTCAACTTAACCTGGTGTACTGTACATGATATTTATGCTTTGTTGGTAAATTATATTACTTTTAGATTTGTTATGGTCATATTAAATATTTACTGTATTATGTGACAGTCTCTTCAACTGTATGTGTGGCCCAAGCATCAGAACGAGTGGACACTGATTTGTTGCTAGAAAAGGCTGATGGTCACTGTTGTAGGGTTTTCACTACCTATGTTCTATGCACTCATAGTTATGGGAAAGACAGGAAAATAAATTTTGTTTTAATATTCCTTATTTTTACATAGAATACCTGGTACTGTACTATCATTAATCCTTGTACATAATTAGATATTAGTCTGCTACAGGTAACCTGTAGACTTGGTGGGTTAAATACACAAGTAAAGTCAGAAAATTGAATTTCAGGATCATTCCTCCAATAAACTGTATATAACCAGGACACATAATAAAGAAAAAGGAAGACTGATAATGTGGAAGATAATGTACATAATTGTTCTTTCTTTCAGTTTCTTAAAAGAGAGCGGGAAGAAATCTAGACGCACAAGTGGAGGATGAAGACTTAGAGAAGATGAATAAAGAAGGAAGGGAGTTAGCACAAAGACTGTTACCCACCTTAGGAGAATGGACAGGTCAGACACTCACTGTAGACCAACTCAGGGAGCAAGTGCAGCAGGAGAAAGACTCCAAAGTAAGAGAAATCATATTATATTGTTTATTTTGTTTTATCTCTGTAAAGCTTAACTTATGGCAGTAGCATTTAATAGAAACAAGGGTTTAAAAGTATTATAGGTGAAAAGTTCAGTGCTAAGAATGACTTCCCATACATACTACTGTAAACTGTATAACTTAATTAGTAACTGAACTTAATTGCAGGTTACAGAAAATTTAATAAACAATTTGGTCTTCATATTTAATGTTACATAAACTTACAGGCGGCAGCAATACAAGAACAGCAGACCAGGAAGAAGAGAAGGGTGCTGAGGAAGTCATCCAACAACGTCAAGTCCTCTACGTACTATAGTGAAACAAGTAGAAAGATAACACTGTACACTCTGGCAGGGGGGAATGAAGACAGCACTACAATAGACACCCCAATGGACGATCAAATATCAGTTGAACCTGGACCACTCAGTCTCGGGGATAGCCAGTATTTATTGACTCACACGGATGACAACGGCTGTGTCATGATCATCCCCTGGGGTGTGTCATTGATTGGGGAAAGTGAAGAGGGGAGGAGGAAGGGAGTGGACTCAACCAGACTTACAAGGAGACAAGATAGTAAAAAGTAGTAGTGCATCCGATGGTGTTGTGACTATCAAAGTCCCAAAAGATGATATTGACATACCTAGAATAGTACAGGACAATAGTATTTCAAATCTCGAGTCTGCATTAGAGTTAAGTACTACAATTAAGACAGAAAAACCCATAGGAGATATACACGTTTCTGATGGCATTATAGAGGTGGGTAACCTGAGTGATGTCGTGGGTGACCTTGACCCAGCGGACATGAAAGAAAGTGCAAGACCCGACATGGATACTAATATGTTATCAGATAAAAGCTTTTGCAAACAACTCCCAGAATCAATACAGGTGATTGCTTCCAATGAACCTGTGGATGAGACAGTTCCTAATGCCTCAAATTTTGTTTTACCAGAGGGTTATATTGTGGATGATGACGGCCAAGTTATTCAGCTGACTGACAATGTAATAGATGCCAACCTCCTCCTACGGCAAATGGGACAGGTGGTATCGGGGACAGACGCGCCAGAAGTCACGATAAATAAAATTACAAGTAATGTTTACTCACTGATGAGTCAAGGCAGCGATGGTCAAGAGGGAGAGACATTTGTTATTACCACCCAAGAAGGAGAAGAAGAAGAGGAAGAAACTGTTTCCACTCACTCCAGTGGTGAGGAGGATCAGAAGTCTTCACTTGTTCTTATAGTTAATGCTGATGATATAGAAAACTCCTGATTTTTGCCTTAAATATCTTAGTGTTGTTTCTCACCTGTTCTTAGATCAACTTTTTTTAAAGTTAACGTTAAAACCCTTTACATAAATTAGTTATATTTTTTATACTGCATAGATTAATGCTGTGTTGAGAAGGAATTAATCGTGATCACTGTTTTACAGCCATTGTCCATTTTTCGTGGGTTTAGCCGTGTTTATCTGATGGCAGAGAACAAAAATTAAATACGTACAAGAATCAAATGAAAAATCTTCGTTGATGAGTTGTAAATTTGAACTCAAGGGAAGAATTGTAATAATCTAAAATGCTTTGTTAGCCAGCCCAAAGTAATACACATTAACATACAAATTATCACTTCTGATGAGGCTGGAGAAATGGTTCTGGACAAACTGTAATGATTTGAAGATTTAGTATTGAAAAGTGGTAAGAGGAAATCATTGTTACAGACCTAGACCACCCAGTCATTCCCTCTGAGGAAAAAAAAAAACATCCCCTGGACATGGGAAAAGCTTAGTGATCGCCATGACTAGAATTACTGTATCCTCAAATAACCTGATGTGACGGAGAAAGTTTCATAAATGTACTTGGCCTTTGGTCTTTATGAAGTATGAAAAACTACTATAAACAACAAACAAATTGAAAAAAACAATAATTCACATCAATATTCATAATTCTTGGCTACACTTCTTGTCTATGCAACTTTGAACTTTTTTATAATTTTTATTTTATTTATTTATTTCATTGTAGAAACAGACAGAAATGCATCTAAAAATGATAAATATTGAGGTTATTAATAGTTTTTTCACTTTAAAACTGTTTATCTAGTTATTGTATATCAGGAGAACCCCCACATTACGACTAGTGCCATGTCCCCACACTGACCATCTCATGCTAACATCTTGAGTCGACAGTTTTGAGAGCAGCTGTAATGGGGTGCCACTGTCCTATAAAAAAAATCGATGACAATTTTTTCCAGACAGTGATTTCATATATTACAGCCACCTGATAAATACTCCTGTACAGTATATTGAAGAGAGGCTAATACTGTAGTTGTACTCATTAAATTTAGCAGTGAAATTATCTCCCTTTAGAAAATCTTGGATCTGTCCTTGTGGTACTGAGTTGATAGTATTTGCACTGAATTCCTAGCTGTTTTTTCGTTTTAATGACAAACATAATCATCATCATCATATCACCACTTATCAACTTACTAGCTGTTTGAGCAGTTGGTCTTTTCATTATTATTTAATTATGACCTTCATTGTCTACTGTTAGTACAGGAGGAAACTAGGTTAACAGTGGCATAACTACTGTGCCCTGAAAAAAATTTAGGGGTAATAATTTGTTACTGTATTGCAATTTGTAAGTTTTAGTGTGCGTGTGCAACTCGTACAGTACATGTTCATATGTTTGTTTTGCATATTTTCATAATACAGTAATACGTTGTCATTCACTTGTCAGTACAGGGACCCCCACTCCGTCCAGAGGCAACATTGTACACGGCTCTCACTCCATTCTCTCGTTTTTACTTTCATTGATACCTTCACCCTTGATTTAGGTGAGATTTTATGCGTAGTTGTCAGGGAATTGTTTATTATTTCCACACGTTTTCCACTGTTCATTGTTTCCAAGAGGCAGCACCAATGTTTGTAGGAAAGGAAAGGTCAAATAAGGGAAGCATAATGAAAGTTGAGAAAAGTGAAGGTAGGAAAGCTCAAAGCACAGTGAAGGTATGGAAACAAAGTGAAGCTAGGGAAGCACAGTGAAGGTGGGGAAACAAAGTGAAGCTAGGGAAGCACAGTGAAGGTGGGGAAACAAAGTGAAGCTAGGGAAGCACAGTGAAGGTGGGGAAACCCAATGAACGAAGGGAAGCATATTGAAGGTAGAGAAGCACAGTGAAGGTACAAAAGCACAATGCAGGTAGGGAAAGTACAGTGAAGGTAGGGAAGCACACTTCTGAGGCATGACCACAACCTACTGAAGTCTTTGCTTGGTGCCTGGGTGCTCCCTCAGTCACAAATTAAGGCAATTTCAAAGTTTTTGCCCCTGCTGAAAAAATTCTTAGAATCGCCACTGTAGGTTACCCTGAGAAAACTTATGTTAAGTGGTAGGGTTACACTGGTTAACACTTCTCACATCTGACTTATGGATATGAACCTGCAAATGCACTTGTAAGAGGCAATTGCACTCCCACTGTACCATCAACACAGCCTTAATGCAAGGAATAAGATGACTTGAGGAGAATTTATTCATACTACATGTATAATGAAGCAGGTCATTGTGTTCACAGGGTTTTGACATTGCACTCAAGGGAATGAGTCACTTTACAAAAGGGATTAAGACATCATACTCAAGGAGTCATGTTCCTCAGTGGGCTAATTCTGCATTCAGGTGGTTGACACAGAACCCAATGAGTTGATATTTTCATAACATTACATTGCCAATATTGTAGCTCTCTAAATCTAGTCTGTTGATTTTTTATCCTTTCATTAGAATTTCTTGTTCATACACCAACTGTTTTAACTTTATATCTCCTCTTTGTGTACAATATAATTATTTTAATGAACTAAGTTTGATGAAATACAACATAGAATTGTACTGTAACTTCTAGTCTTATCAAGAAAAGAATAGTATAATAAATTCTGATGATATTTTTGGATTTAAAAAAAGAGATATTTACATAATATAATGAACTGATTATGATATCATATTGTTATACTGTATAATAAAAAATATTAATTAAATTTAAAATTCTTTTATTTAGCCAGGTTATTTTTTATCATGTCATGTTTACATATACTGCACTGTACTAGGTGGGTGTGTTTACCTGACGTGCACATTTTTAGACAGCTTCCCGTGACCTTTGATTCTAATTTGCCACTAACATCCAGTCTTAACTGGTCTTCAGAAAGTTATTTTGTACCCAGTATATACTGGGTAGATCTAACACACACTGATACCTCACTATACTGCCTCAGGAGGCTGCTAGTGTCTTACGTTCATCCCCATCTGAGGCAGTACAGTACATCAACACCTGCCACCAAGGTTTTAATGGGATCTCAAGAATATTAGGGGCCCCAGCTTATTTCACATGATGATGAAATACCCTTATGGTAAATGGAAGCTAGGTTAGATTTGGTTACCTTAGCTCATTATTAGGTTAGTCGCATGGACGGTCGGTCATGTCTGTTACGCACTGGCTCCTGAATGTATCTGTACCTGCTCCAGTGTTGGTCAAGTCTGGTCTTGAAAGAGCTCACACTCGGTGCCGTCACAACACTCTGGCAGATTGTTCCGAGAGTTCACAACTCTCACTCTGAAAAAATTTGCCCTCACAGTTTTCTGGACTTGTGGCTTCTTCAACCTTGAGCTGTGACCCCTTGTGGGGAGGGCGTCTGCCAGCTCCAGGTATGGACACTCGACTGAGTAGTGCCCCCTGAGATGTTTATGCACTTCAATTAGGTCGTCCCTTGCCCATCTGTAGTGTAAGCTAGGCAGTTGCAGGCACTCTAATATTTCTGGATAACTGAGGGGCCGTAGTGCTGGCACCAGTCTATGTACATTGTATACTTGCACTAAGTACTACTATACATCGTTTTTATACCTGCACTGGATAGGTACTTTATTTTTGTACCAGAACTGTATGTATATACCGTTTAATAGCTGCACTAAGTATACTGTACAATGCATTGCTTATATATCTGCACTGTTTATGTACAATACCCAAAAAAGTTTCGTTAAATTTTCCATCGCTACAATTGTATTAACAGTATGTACAGTATATGTGTGTAAACTTCTAGTATGGGAGGTACAGTATTGATAGTTACTCCTCCAAAAGTCGTCGTTTTCTCTGGTTCCGTTTTTACAAGGTCTACGGGAATTGCAAGCCGTTGTTTCAGAAATTGTCACGTGAAAAAATAATAAAATTGGCCTTAACGACTTTTGGAGGAATCACTATCCTAATATACTGCACCTACCATATTACACGTTTACACATATACTGTTAATACAAGGGAAATAAAAGGCTTCAGTCTTTCTTGGTTTATCCTTGTTTGATCAACACTGTCTGTACACAAGCATCTGATGTCTTTGTCGTTTATCCTTATTCGAGTTGCCTCACTGTTTACCATTGTTGTATACCTACACAGTACTGCCTCAACTTATTTTTTTTTTTTTCTTTTTCCTCTTCACCACTGATCGGCTCGTTAGTGCAGCACTTCTGTTCAGTGGTTAATCTTAAGCTAGGGTGTCTAATTTTCACCTTCTTTATATCAAAACAAACGTGTGAGTTAAGATGTTGAAGAAAATAAACCTGATAGAGAATTTTCCATAAACCAAGAATATAATAGTTTTATTATCACTACAACAGACCAACAACCGATTGATAGTGTCAAACAGATCGTTTATTAACCCCGCCCACTGATGACTTCACTACTGAGGCAGGCTTCAGTCACATGTCTTCAAGCCTCACACAGGTTAAGTTGGAGCAGACACACGCCAGTCTGCTTTAGTTTGTGTCTGCTGCTGCTGGGTGTTCACGGTTGACTGGTACGACTGTTGGTCACTACTACTACTACTGCTGACGGGTACTGCTGCTGCTGGTGGCTGCTGCAAGCTGACGGCTGATGGATATTGTTGATGACGGCTTACCAAAAAATATCTACTGTACGCTGCTGGGTGCTGACGTACAGTATACTGCTGGCTGACAGGTAAGGTGACACACAAGACTCATTAGTGTTCCAGGGGCGGATCCAGGAAAATAAAAAAGGGGGCTCCAATAAGTTTTGGGTGGGGGAACATTGCGAGCAAAAAGATCCCACCTAATTGATTTTTTGGGGGCGATGTAAGCCTCCCACTTCGCCCAGAATATTTTGTTTTTTAATTTGCCAATATCATGGCCATTTTGAAGCCATGTGCACTTGATATTAGGAGATATTGTGAGGTCAACAGTAATTACTTTTTACTATACAAAATGCCTGAGTACAATACTGCATTAAAGAAAAAGTATTGGAATTTTCTGACGAAAAGGGGGGTCCGGACTCCCACCCCCCTGGATCCGCCCATTACTGGTTTACGTCAGTTTAAATAAACTGTTGTAATCAAAGTTAGCTGCTGCGTAGTGTACCTCCCCTTGTACTAAGTGGCGTGTAGTGTACCACAGTAAATGGCTCATTAACACCGGTCCTTACATTAGCCACAACAGATCATTTTCAAAACTTGACGGATCTTGCCAAAGGCGTTCAGTAAAGTCTAAATATCAACAAATATTATCCTGTTTTTCTTCGTTCATCCAGACTTGACCCCAAATGTCCCCTCAAGGTTCACTTCTAACGGAAACACAAAAACTAGGAATTTGTTTAACGGCAGGTGGATTGTATTAAGTTCAGTATATAATAATTGGTGGATTTTGTTTAATGCATGGCGTCAGGACTCGTTATGTCTTTTTTATTGCAGTAGTGATGATGGGACGAGCCTCGAGAGTGGAGGATGGCTGACAGTGTGGTGGATAGATGACGGCTGCCTAGGTGGTTGCTAATTAATTATCAATTGCCTCAGAGTTCTTGTACCAGCTGAGAGAGGGACCAGCTGTCGGTTCTTGCACCAGCTGAGACACCTTGATCTTAACAGTATAGTATAGTATTTGAATTACTACTTCAATATTTCGTTGCTGATAATAAACTGAAGTGTTAAGATAATTAATAACTTCTATAGTGAAAGTTTGTCCCAGAGAAATGGGTTTGTGGGTTATCTTAATATCATTATAGACTAATTTAGTTGATATAAAGTTAATGAGTTCGTTAATTTGTACTTTTCACTCAATCGTTTGTTGTAAAGTAAGAATTTCTTTTAGTATATTTTTTAACCATTTTCTTGTTGGTTTTTAACTGGTATGTAAGACTGCAACTTTTATAAACCACTAAGTTAAATTTATAAAGTTAACGGGAATTGTAGTTACTTTATTAACTTTATCCATTTATTTTCTCTTGACAGGTAAGTGAATGGTCCTACATGAATAAATCGACCGATTTATTCATGTAGGACCAATATTGACTTCATTGCGGCTACGTTTGGGTACATTTGGGTAATTAGTCCGACCCAAATGTACCCAGCTCTACTGGACACCCCAGCACTATGGCCTTGACCTGACCTCCAGCCAACATGTTGACCTACAACAAGCAGTGACCTCCCCCCAGCACGGTGACTGAGTTGACTTCCAGCCAACATGTTGCCCTACAATAAGCAGTGACCCCTCCAGCCAACATGTTGACCTACAACAAGCAGTGACCTTCCCCCAGCACGGTGACCTTGAGCCGACTTCCAGCCAACATGTTGCCCTACAATAAGCAGTGACCCCTCCAGCCAACATGTTGACCTACAACAAGCAGTAACCCCACCAGCACGGTGACCTTGACCTGACCTGCAGCCAACATGTTGACCTACAAGCCATAACTCCCCCAGCACGGTGACCTATCCAGCCAACATGTTGACCAACAAGCAGTGACTAACAGCCAGAAAAAGTAAATAACAAACAAGTTAAGGGAACCACCATCACTTATCTTAGGTCAACAACGTTATGTACATTAGTTTCATCACCTGGTAATATTTTACTCTTCCTGGCACAAACACAAAATGCTTGATAACAATTTATTACAAGTACCTGTAGTTATTACAGCTTTACAACTTCCTCGTTACTAGTGTTACATGTTCTCTGTAGAGTGAGTAAGTGGGCTAATGTCACCTGAGGCATCTCATTGGTGGAAAAAGCAGTGACGTAACCACCAGCAGTCTACCCCATTGGTGGACTGTAGCACTTCACTTTACAATGTTAGACAAAATATTAACCGAGTGATAACGTCCACACACTTACGATTATAAGTGTATAACAGGCCAAAAAATCATTATATATATACTCCAACACCTAGTGCTTTGTGGCGTGTGTGTGTGGGGGGGGGGGCAGGGCTTTGTGTGGGTGGTTTGGTGGGGAGAAGTGCTTCGTGAGGTGTGTGGAGGGGGAGATCTAACGAGTACAAAATTTCCCTCAACAGCCGTCAGGTGTGTAGTGAGCCAGCGACCCACACCTGCCTCACCGCTCTCATTCTCAAGTTTACTGAAGCTTCGAGGCGTCTCACTCACTCACAATAAACTGAAGCATCACTCGTAGCAGGCGATAATTTACGTCAGGGAAGAAATACTACAACTTGTGGATCACCAACAATAACACAGAGTTGTGTTTACTGTTACGAACCCCGCCACCAATTGTCATGACCTACCTGCCCAACACTACGAACCACGCCACCAATTGTCATGACCTACCTACAGCACTACGAACCCCGCCACCAATTGTCATGACCTACCTGCACCTACGAACCCCGCCACCAATTGTCATGACCTACCTACCCAGCACTACGAACCCCGCCCCAATTGTCATGACCTACCTACCTACGAACCCCGCCACCAATTGTCATGACCTACCTACCCAGCACTACGAACCCCGCCACCAATTGTCATGACCTACCTACCCAGCACCACGAGCAACGCCATCTAGGGACAAACACGAGTATGACTCGTCTTAGTTACCACTCCCGGGTTTCCCTTCTCCATATCCTGGTTGTTGCGTCACCTCTTCCAAGTCTTCTTTGTCAGCTCGAGTTCGAGGAGAGTTCAGTTCACTCTGGGAAGTGACCACAGGATCACCTGTCCTGGAAACCTACGGCACAGTGACTACCTACCACCGTCTTCAATACTCAGCCTTACTCGTCAGCCATCTCAGCTCCTCACTTAAGTATTTGTAATCTTGTATTGCCTCTCCCACCTCCACCTTGCTTCAAATTATTGTATGTTGTATAAATATGTATATACTGTTAATGTTTAGGTTAAGTATGGTTAAGGGTAAATTATAGATAGCTGAATATTTTGTTAAGGAATTTATGGTACTTTATTATACACAACAAAAACTCGCATCCTTTGTCTACCCTTTTATAGTCCGATTGTCTTTGTTTTTTTATTGTTGTTGCCTGTTGGGATCTGGGTAGACTTTTAACTATATTCTAAATCCCCAACTCGTAACATTACCAAGACAAATATATTCGTGTTGGTTTACCTTGATAAAGACTCCGACAAACTGGATTCACAGTTCCATGACTCCATCTTCTGGGCTTCGTTCATGAAGTGATTCGAATCATAATGTTTCCTGACGCCATTGTACTCCTCCAACACCTAAGACCGCTTGAGTTACGTATACACTCTAGTTGTTGAAGCCGAGTGATAACATAACTTCAGGCTAACACAAGGAAGAGATGATTATTTAATGTAATCTAATATATAATAAAACTCTATTTATATTTATTTAACTGTTTTTTTATAACTTTCATATTGTTGCTGTTTTTATTTCTTCTTCTTCTTCCACAGTATAATAGGGGTGGGGGGGAGGAGGGGAGATGGTAGGAGGACAGGGATTTTATGGGGAGGGAGAGGAAGGAAGGGGAGGAAAGAGGTGGGGAGAAAAGGTGAGGGTAGGGGTTTACTTGGCATCTAGGTATTGGTAGGCACCGCGCCATACCCTCAGTTCTGGTGTGGCTGTGTGACGAGTGAGAGAGACACACACTTGGCTTCTCAATCCCCCTCTCCCCTTTATCTCACTGTCGTCAGGAGGGAGGGCTCTTCCGTTCTGGTCACCTCTTCTACAGTCTCCTGCTGGCTCCCGCTGGCTCCTACTGGCTCCTACAGGCACTTTATTAACACCCTACTGACCCCTCCGGAACCATATGCCCATAGGTGTTGCCGCCTGTTCAGTACGCCGTGACCTTCTTCAGGTAGGTCACATAGTTCACTTTGTCTCTCTGTACCCGTCTCTTCTTCAGTGGCTCTGTCATCTGTTCCGTAAATTAAGGGAGAAGGAAGGAATAAATGAAAAAAGGAAGGATAGACAGAAAGAAAAAGAAGGGATAGGGAGAATTGAAAAGGAAAGAGGTATAAGTGTGGTTATGAGACAAAGACGTGAAGAAGAAGAAGAAGAAGAAATAGAAAAACGAGAGAGAGAGAGAGAGAGTCGAGGTCGTAACTCATAGGGACGCTGAATATGGTGGACGCTCGGCGACTTCCTCGTCAGCTGCTGTACCACTCTGTTACTTAGTGCACCTCCTGCTGGTGTTGTCAATGGTGTTTTAACTCCTGCTGGTGTTGTCAATGGTGTTTTAACTCCTGTAGGTGTTGTCAATGGTGTTTTAACTCCTGCTGGTGTTGTCAATGGTGTTTTAACTCCTGCTGGTGTTGTCAATGGTGTTTTAACTCCTGCTGGTGTTGTCAATGGTGTTTTAACTCCTGCTGGGTGTTGTCAATGGTGTTTTAACTTCTGCTGGTGTTGTCAATGGTGTTTTAACTTCTGCTGGTGTTGTCAATGGTGTTTTCCTGCTGGTGTTGTCAATGGTGTTTCTTCTGCTGGTGTTGTCAATGGTGTTTTAACTTCTGCTGGTGTTGTGTTTACCTTCTGCTGGTGTTGTCAGTGTTTTAACTTCTGCTGGTGTTGTCAATGGTGTTTTAACGCCTGCTGGTGTTGTCAATGGGGTTTTACTCCTGTTGATGTGTCAATGGTGTTTTAACTTCTGCTGGTGTTTTCAATGCTGTTTTAATTCCTGCTGGTGTTGTCAATGCTGTTTTAACTCCTGTAGGTGTTGTCAATGCTGTTTTAACTCCTGCTGGTGTTGTCAATGCTGTTTTATCCTGCAGGTGTTGTCAATGCTGTTTTAACTCTGGTGTTTTCAATGGTGTTTTAACTCCTGTAGGTGTTGTCAATGCTGTTTAACTTCTGCTGGTGTTGTCAATGCTGTTTTAACTTCTGCTGGTGTTGTTAATGCTGTTTTAACTTCTGCTGGTGTTGTCAATGCTGTTTTAACTGCAGGTGTTGTCAATGCTGTTTAACTCCTGCTGGTTTTCAGTGTTTTACTCCCGTAGGTGTTGTCAATGCTGTTTTAACTTCTGCTGGTGTTGTCAATGCTGTTTTAACTTCTGCTGGTGTTGTTAATGCTGTTTTAACTTCTGCTGGTGTTGTCAATGGTGTTTAACTCCTGTAAAATGTTTTTTAACTTCTGCTGGTGTTGTCAATGGTGTTCTTCTGCACCTACCCACTTCCTGTGCATCTACCCACTTCCTATGTCTCCATCCCAGCCCTAATACCCATACTGTGCATCATCATCCCTATTCCCCTACCCCATACCTAAGTGCATCCATCCCATCCCCCTACCCCACTCTGCGTCATCCATCCCATCTGCACCCACTCTGATCCTCCCTCCCCTGTACCACTCTCCTCACGTGAATCCATCCATCCCCTGTTCCCCTCCCCGTGCATCCATCCCATCCTGTACCCACACTCCCATCCATCCAATCCTCTTGCCCCACTTATATTGCATCCATCCCATCTGTCCCCCACCCCCACTCCCGTGCATCCATCCCATCCTGTCCCCCACCCTCCCCGTGCATCCATCCCATCCTGTACCCTACCCCCACTCTGCATCCATCCCATCCTGTAACCCCACACTCCGCGTACATCCCATCACCCCTACCCCCACTCCCCGTGCATCCATCCCATCCATCTACTCCTACCTCGTGCATCCATCCCATCCCTGTACCCCCACTCCGATGCATCCATCCCATCCTACTTCCCCTCCCCGTTGCATCCATCATCCCCTGTACCCCCTACTCCCCGTGCATCCATCCCATCCTGTCCCTACCTCGTGTCCATCCATCCTGTACCCCCTACACTCCCCGTGCATCCATCCCATCCTGTGCCCCTACCCCCACTCCCCGTGCATCCATCCCATCCTGTGCCCCCCTACCCCCACTCCCCGTTCAATCCATCCGTCCTCCCCACTCCCCGTGCATCCATCCCATCCCTGTCCCCCTACCCCCACTCCCCGTGCATCCATCCCATCCCTGTACCCCCACCCCCCACTCCCCGTGCATCCATCCCATCCCTGTACTCCCTACCCCCCACCCCCGTGCCTGCTCTTCATCGGGAGATAACATAAGACGTTGGGTTTAGTGTCGTGACGCGCCATTAGTGGACCAAAAGGTAAACAATTGAAGGCGGAGAAGTGGTACTTGAGTGTGTGTACCGAGTGACGACCTAGCTAGGCCCGCCCGCCCCACCTCACTACACTATCATGGATTCTACTTTAAATCTGTTTATCGTCTTTATTCGATGTTATCTTTTTGTGTGATGATTAAGATATACGTAAACTTGAGGAAATAGAAAGTGATGTAAGGTAAAACAGAGAAGAGAATTGAGAGAGGTGAGAAATAATGAGAAATTGAGAGAGAGAGGTGAAGAAATAAATAAGAAGAATTGAGAGAGAGGTGAAGAAATAGTAAGAGAATTGAGAGAGAGGTGAGAAATAATAAGAAGAAATTGAAGGTGAGAAAGAGAAATAGTAAGAGAAATTGAGAGAGAGGGTGAGGGAAATAGTAAGAGAAATTGAGAGAGAGGTGGGGAAATAGTAAGAGAATTGAGAGAGGTGAGGGAAATAGTAAGAGAATTGAGAGAGAGGTGAGGAAATAGTAAGAGAATTAGAGAGAGGTGAGGAAATAGTAAGAGAAATTGAGAGAGGTGAGGAAATAGTAAGAGAAATTGAGAGAGGTGAGGAAATAGTAAGAGAAATTGAGAGAGGTGAGGAAATAGTAAGAGAAATTGAGAGAGAGGTGAGGAAATATTAAGAGAAATTGAGAGAGAGGTGAGGAAATAGTAAGAGAAATTGAGAGAGAGGTGAAGAAATAGTAAGAGAAATTGAGAGAGAGGTGAGGAAATAGTAAGAGAAATTGAGAGAGAGGTGAGGAAATAGTAAGAGAAATTGATGCAAAGAAAGAATAGACAACAAAAGGAAAAGATAAGGATAATGGTAATAAATATCTCGACACACACACACACACACCACATAATCAAATCTCTATTTTACCAAGACGATTCACTAAGACACATTTTCACACATTATAACTCAGAAACACACAGAGAGAGAATTAAATATACAGACACGAGGAGGAGGGAGGGGTGGGGTAGAATAATTCCCAGGGCGGTGACACTAACACAAAGGCGGTGTCTTAAGTAAATTGTAAGTAAGTAATGTATCTGTCACTACTTATCCGGTTCATTTACACTTTAAGTATCACTACAGTTTATGATCGTGTCCTTATTTGAAGTGAGTGTTTAGAGAGAGAGAGAGAGAGCATCACAAGTTCCGCTAGATGTTATCAGCCCAGCGGGTGAGGGACCCCAGATTTTCCAAAAATTTCCCTAGATTTTTCAAAAATTTCCCTAAAATTTTCCAAAATTTTCAAAAATTTTTCCCAAATTTTTCCCAAATTTTCCCAAAATTTTTCAAAAATCACAAGTTCCGCTAGATGTTATCAGCCCAGCGGGTGAGGGACGGAGCGATGTTTTTCAGCTGGCCAGAAGATATGTTGGGTCAGGTTGTCAGGGAGAGGAGGTGGGGGGTCGGGTGTATGAATGAGGGAGGTAAGAAGGGAGGGAGGGAGGGAGGAAAGGAAGGGAGGGAGGAGGTAGCAGGGAGTTGTGGGAGAAAGGAAATGTTAGGAATGATGGCCTGTTGTAGGAGATGAGAGAGAGAGAGCGAGAGAGACATGCTGGGTGAGAGCCAGAGGGATAGGTATAGGGAGGTAAGCAGCGCCCCGCCAAGAGTCCAACACATCAACCACACCACCACACCACCACATCTAAACCTTCACACCTAGCTACGATACCCTCCCCCCCCCACCGAAACACACTCATTCTAAAAGCTCCTTATAATAGATTTTAATTTTTTTTTACCTAATTTGATCTTCATAAGGTACCAGATTAAGTTCACCAAAGCTTCGTATGTTAAAGTTCCCCCTTAAAATGATCCCGTTTTCTTTAAGGTCTAAGAAGTGGGGAGGGGTAGGGGGGACTCTTTTAAGCACCTTCCTCATGTGTTCCCAATTAACTGGTTTATTTAAGCTACGATATAAGGGGTGGTGACGGGGGCTACAGGCTTTAATGGCGTCATGTAGCACTGAGACTTTACCGTAATTAGTGACGTTTTTACCTCATCCATTCCTCTCACTCATCCTTCATCCACCCTTCATCTCATCCACTCCCCCATCCTCAACTCACTCATTCCCTCATCCACTTCTCACCCTCTCCTCATCCATACAGCTTATTTCACTTGAAGATTATTCACCCTCACGCTAACTTGGAGATTAGATTAACTTAGGTTAGGTTAAGTTAAGTCAAGGTAGATTAAGTTATTTACACCGTATTAAAAAATAAATCAATATATAAAAATAAACAAATAAACACAAAAAACGGAAAAAAAGAAAGTAATAAACGGAAGATAAAATTATAATAAATATAAAGAAAAAAAAGCAAGACTAAAGACTATTATATTCATACCGGAAGTAGCCATCAGCAAGACTCGGGATAAAGTAAATAAACATTCCAACACTATTTTCAGACAAAGATTCCGGAGGTATGAGTCGAGAATGAATGCCCCGTAAATTCTCCTCCACCTTAGCGGGAACACATAAGATAAACTCACTTAAACTACGAGACAAAAAAACCGGTTTATTTACTAGAACTTACGGTAAATTCAGGGAAGATTTTATGATGAAATATTCTGTCTTAAAGTGTGTTTGGAGGTGGGAAGGAGGTGAGGGAGGGAGAGACAGACAGACGGTAATTTCTCGTACTTTTCAGTTTAGGGATGTGAGGTGTGACGGAATGAGTGAGGGAGAGAAGGAATGAGGGAGTGAGAAAGGAAAAAAAGGTGTGTGTGTGAGTATGTGTGTGTGTGTGTGTACCTAAATACGCCTTGTTGCTATATATATACCAAGTGCATGGCGCTCCCTACCAGCACCCACTACTACCACCCACTACCACCCCTACTACCACACTACCACTACTACCACCCTTACTACCACACTACCACTACTACCCTACTACCACTACTACCACCAATGCTACTGCGTCTGCCATCGTTATCACTACTACTACTACTACTATCACCACCATTACCAATACTACCTGTACCACCACTATTACAACTACCACCGCTACTACTACTACTACTACTACCACCACCACTATTACTATTATTATTATTATTATTATTATTATTATTATTATTATTATTTCTTTTCAGATGGAAGGAAATCGATGTTAAAAGAAGAGAAAAACAAATAAGAAAAGATAAATAAGAAAAGAGGAAACAAGTGTAGTGAAGTAAATGAAGTGAGAGTGAAGTGAAGTAAGGAGACCCTGAAGTAAGAAGACAGTGAGGTGAATAAACGGTGAAACAAGGATACAGTGAAGTGAGGAGAGATATCTAAGAGGAGAGAGAGAGAGAGACATTGAGGTGAAAGTGAGGTGAGGAAAGTGAGTCAACATGAGGCTCACCGTCATCAACTTCGTCTTCATTTTCTGCAGCTACTCCCTCAGGATCTTGGCTCTTCCTGACGAAATCCTCATCGGTAAGTCGATATTTTGTACTGTGTGGGGGGGGTGGGGGGGGTGGTACATTCACTCCTGAACTGTGTAAACTTGTAGTGTCCTCATTCACACACACACACACACACACCAAAGAGATAATTATTCAAGGTTTCGTCCACAGTTAATGGGTCACCTGAAGATTAGCCACCATAACCCAAACTAATCTAACCTAACCTATCGTTAAACCTTTACTGTCTTCCCCTTGCCTCACTGTCTTCCCCTTGCCTCACTCTTTTCCCTTTGCCTCACTACCTTCCCCTTGTCTCACTGCCTCCCCTGCTCACCGCCTCCCCTTGTCTCACTGCCTTCCCTTGTCTCACTGCCTTCCCCTTGTCTCACTCTTCCCTTGTCTCACTCTTCTCTTCCCTTGCATCACTGTCTCCCCCTTTGCCTCACTGTCTTCCCCCTTGCCTCTACCTCTCTTCCCTTGCATCACTGTCTTCCCCTTGTCTCACTGTCCTCACCCCTTGCTTCACTGTCCTCATTTTGCTTCACTGTCCTCACCTTTGCTCACCTCAATCTCTATTTAGATCTTAATAACTCTCTAAGAATGAAGGAAATTTTGAGAAAAAATAGATGAAGATGAGGGAGGGAGGGAAGGAAGGAGGGAGGGAGGGAAGGAAGGAAGGAGGGAGGGGGGAGGAGGGAGGGATGGAGGGTGAAAGGAGGAGAGAGAGGAATGAAGGAAGAAGGGAGGAAGGGCAAGGATGGGAATGAAGGGCTGAAGGGAGGAAGGAAGGAAAAGTAAGGGGAAGTGGAAGAAGGAAGTGGATGAAGAGAGGGGCAAGGGGAGGAAGTAAGGGAGGGAGAGGGGAAGGAGGGGAGGGAGGGAGGGAGGGAGTGAGGGAGTAAGTAAAGAAGAGAGAAGTGAAAGGAGGAAGGAAGGAAGAGAGGAAACAAGAGGGGAAGAGAGGGAAGGAAGGAAGGAAGGAAGGGAGGGAGCTCACACATCAGGAAGGGAGGTTACATAGCGTCACCTATCGCAGCAGGGGAGCAGAGGGCGACACCCACAGCCACCCCCACCCACCCAGAACCACCCACTGGCAAGTAACAGGTGTGCATCATACCACCCACCACGGAGGAGGAGGAGGAGGAGGAGGAGGAGGAGGACTACAGTAATGCATAAGAAGAAGAAGAAGAAGAAGACCTACTTTCTGATGAACAAGTGTTGAAGATAATTATTTAACCCCCCCACACACATTTACAAACCTCATTGTATAATAAATCAACTTCTTTCTCTCTCTCGTGTATATTAACCTTAAAATAATTCCTATGCACAATAAATTAACAAACTAACAAATTATCAATGTCCTGTAACGCAAAAGAGGGGGGGGTAGAGTTGAAGAGTTGTGGGGTTGAGTTAGGTTGGTGAGACGGGGAGAAAGATAGACGGAAAAGACGAGAGAGAGAGAGAGAGAGAGAGAGAGAGAGAGGAAAAAAGGAAAGAACGCGAGGGAAATAAAGTGAGAAGGAAATTACCCTCACCGCTCAAGTGTTTGTAAGTAGGTGTTGATCCTGAGAGGCACCTTGTTTACACCTCCTCACCTCGTGTTTACCTCACCTGTTCACCTTCTCATAACAAACAATGACCTCACCTGAATAATAACACGTCAACAAACACACAAACACGTCACTCAGGGTAATAGTGACTCTCTCTCTCTCTCCCTCACATGCATACATGCATACATACATATTAAAAAAACAGGACCTCTTGATATGACACCGACACTTCCTAAAGTAGTACGTGTGTGTGTGTGTGTAAACAGAGACGTCAAGGGACTTTGTAAACAGAGACGTCAAGGGACTTTGTAAACAGAGACGTCAAGGGACTTTGTAAACAGAGACGTCAAGGGACTTTGTAAACAGAGACCTCAAGGGACTTTGTAAACAGAGACGTCAAGGGACTTTGTAAACAGAGACGTCAAGGGACTTTGTAAACAGAGACGTCAAGGGACTTTGTAAACAGAGACCTCAAGGGACTTTGTAAACAGAGACGTCAAGGGACTTTGTAAACAGAGACCTCAAGGGACTTTGTAAACAGCTTCTAAACATAGATACACGGTATGAGGGGTCTGGCAGCCCCTCTTCTCACCTTAATTAATACCACGTCTTTGGGTGTCACATGCCGGTGGTGGTGTGTTGTGGTGGTGTGGTGGTGATAGTGAGTGCGTGTGATGTAATGGTGGTGATGGTGATGCTTATCCTCAACACTGTCAGTTACTGTGTGTGTGTGTGTTAAGGGTGCCTGTGGTCGGCGAGAGAGAGAGAGAGAGAGAGAGAGAGAGAGAGAGAGAGAGAGAGAGAGAGAGAGATAAGGAGGGAGGGAAAGAAGGAGGGAGGGAAAGAAGGTGGGAAGGAAGGAAGGAAGGAAGGAAAGAGAGGGAGACACAAAAACCAGTAGGTCTTGGTCTCACTAATCATCACAGCTGACAGTCCCTGGCGCCCTCACCTGCTTTTTACACACTCATCTTGGCGACGTTAAGAAGTTGGCGATGTTGAGAAGTTGGCGATGTTTTGAGAAGTTGGCGATGTTTTGAGAAATTGGCGAAGTTGAGAAGTTGGCGATGTTGAGAATTTGGCGAAGTTGAGAAGTTGGCGAAGTTGAGAAGTTGGCGATGTTTTGAGAAGTTGGCGATGTTGAGAAGTTGGCGTAGTTGAGAAGTTGGCGATGTTGAGAATTTGGCGACGTTAAAAGAAGTTGGCGATGTTGAACACTAACAAACCTTAACTTAACGAAATTAACACATAACACTATCTAAAAAATGGCGCCAGAATTACCCCGAGACTCTACAGGTGTTCATACGTTAATTAGACTCCACTTTAAAGGTAAATGGAGGTATTTCAGAGAGAGAGAGAGAGAGAGAGAGAGAGAGAGAGAGAGAGAGAGAGAGAGAGAGAGAGAGAGTTTTTAACACCATTATTGAAACTCTAGATTGAACCCTCAGTGTAATCCAATACTCTTAGGTCAAAGGTGTCGGCAGATGACAGTCCAAACAAATTCGTAAACAAACATTGAATTCCAATATGGCGGCGTCTTTGAGGTGGCTACTGGTGTATTATAATTAACTGAGGGATCAATACACTGTTTATTTAGACGTGTGAGTGAGATTTATCATACCGAGTAATTTTTACAGGTTTAATTTACTGTAGTTTGAGCCTGTGAAATATTTTTTTGTGTAGTCTTGTGTTGTGTAAATATTTCTATCAGTACGTTTTAATTTTGTCATGGTTGTAACTGTATTGGGATATTAACCTCTGTCTTTTGTAATATCTGTAACTGTATTTGGTATCTAAACCTGTACCTTCATCGTCTCTGAAATTAATAAAAAAAAAAAATCACTACAGGAATACAGAAAAATTATCTTACGGGATGTTACTTTGTATAGTGTATGATAGTGTGTGTGTGTGTGTGTGTGTGTGTGTGTGTGTGTGTGTGTGTTGTGAGATGGTTGATGGTTTGAGATTTAGCTGTACATACACACACACACACACACACATACACACACGGTCTAGGATCTCGAAGACCTGTCATCAGTTGTTTCTTGGCACTTGTCCCACCCCAACCCACCACTATAACACACTATAACCCACTACAGCCCACCACAACTTACGACAACTTACCATGACCCACTACGACCCACCACAACCCGCCACGACCTGATACAACCCTCCGTAACGATACTTTTTGGAGTGTGTGGAGGGAAGGAAGTGGTGGTGTGCGTGAATGAGTGGATACCATGGCGCCCATTGGTTTCTAAGGATGGTGGTAATGCTGATGGCTGAGGCAGGCTTGAGTGGACATATTTATTACACCAGGTAGATTAAAATAGGGAAAATATATGTATATCATTTATTTATGTTTTTCTGCTTCGTCTATCAAACACAACACCAGCAGATCTGTGGCAGGCATCACCAAGACAACCTCGGTGTATAGGAGAACCTCGACTCGTGGCACCTCCTGGTCTTCCTGTTATAAAACCTAATATCTATATAATATAAATATCTTGTAGATCTAGTCAGCCAGGTGTACTGTAGTTCATTTACTGTGTTGTTAATGTCATCCAGGGTAACTGACTCATGTGTGTATATATATAACACTGATTAATACTAAAGTGAGGGGGCTGACGGCTGGGTGTATGTGTGTAAGTGAGGGGGGCTGACGGCTGGGTGTATGTGTGTATGTATTCAGCGCTCCGTAGTGGGACGTGACAATGTGGTCGGTCTTAATAATTGTTACCTGAGGAGCGTCATCAGTGAGACACTAGGGCACGTGACGACCTGCTGGGAGACGTTACATAACACGTGATGGAAAGTTGTTTTGTGTGTGTGTGTGTGTGTGTGTGTGTGTGTGTGGGGTCATAACTTAACAGCCTGAAAATATGAGTTGTGGTATTTCCGCGGCGTGGCTCAGGCTCTTGCCCGGTGCTTCATCATATTCTGCTGGCATCACCGTGAACATCCCTATCATGGCCCCCGGGTGTCCTGCCTTCCACCGGTAATGGCATCCTCACACCTCCCTCACACAGCTCTTCATCCACAGGTATTAAATACACTAAAGTTTGTTGTAGGTACAGTACATTACTCTTACCTGCTGTATATATTAAAAATGAAAGTAATACGGGCGGCGCGACACACCTAAGGGCAGGTATTGATGTTGGCCAGAGTCCAGGGCGCCCCAGTTGTTACTCCCTGGGTGTTGTCAGCCAGCGAGGGGTTTGTTTGGCCTCTGTAAGTCGAGCCTCTCAGTCTACGTACCCTCTCGACCACTGACGAGACCCACCTGTACCTCCCTTCCCTCTCCTTCTTTTCCTTCCTCTTTCCCTCTCTCCTTTCCCCTCTCATACACTACCCTTCCTCCATCCATCTTTCCCCCTTCCTCCTTCCATCTTTCCCTTCATCCATCCCTCCCTCCTCCTCATTCCATTTTCCCTCTCTTCTTTGCTTTATCATACAGCCAAGCCTTCCCTTCATACCCCCTTCC